CACCCATTCTCTCAAAAATTATTGTACAATGCCCTTATTCGTAGTCATTTGGATTATGGGTGCTTTGTCTTGGAACCCTGTAATAAGTCTTCCCTAAAGAATCTAGATAGGATTCAGGCCAAAAGCCTTCGTATAATCATTGGGTCAATGAAATCTTCCCCAATAAATGCTCTCCAAGTCGAATGTGTAGATCCCCCTCTTTACCTAAGAAGACAATATCTTTCGGACCGATTCTTTTTTTAAAATCTACCAACTCTCTTCCCACCCGCTCATTTCTAAATTACACCTTCTTTTGGAATATATTTCATCAAAGCATTACTGGACTCATAAAGAATCTCCCTGCTTATCCAACAGTTTGGTAACATTACTCCATCTACCACACCCAGTATCACAATGCAAGTCCTGTCCCATCTTTGATATCCCATATGATGCAATTATTTATCAACCAAATATCCACCTCGACCTTGGTATTGAGAAAGATTGCCCTATAGCAAATAGTAAACTAAGTAGAGTCATAGATAACTTATGGAAAGGCTGGCTTATTATATACACTGATGCCTCCAAAAAGTCAGGTGAAAGTTGCACTGGAGCAGCCGTTTGGATTCCCAGATACAAAATAATCCTCAATTTTAAATGCCCTTCTATTTCTTCCACTTTTACTGGCGAGGCCACGGCAATTTATGAAGCTTTAATTTATATAGAAGCACACAACCTAAATAAGTCAGTTATTCTTACTGACTCCAAAAGCTGTTTGTTAGCAATTTTGTCAAACCAGTTCCAAAGTAAATATAAGATACCCTTGATCCTCAAAATTAAACACACATTGTATACATGCCATCTCAAGGGTATTCAGGTTTCCTTAGCTTGGATTCCAGGTCATAGTGGCATCAAGGGCAATGAAACAGCTGATCTGATGGCTAAAAATGCAAGTCGAAATGGTTTACCATGTAATTTAGTTTACTCTTCAGACATAGTGTTACTTGCAAAGAAGAAGTTAAATAATAATTGGAATACATTATGGAAAGCCACTCAAAATATAAAAGGTAAACACTATGCTGCTATACAAGGTGCCATTCCTCCAAAACCATGGTTTTTCAAATTTAATAAAGCTAACAAACAGTCAACATCAACTATCTGTAGACTTCGAATTGGCCATGCTTGTACACCAGTACATTTAGCCAAACTGAGGATTAGGGACAGTTCCCTCTGCGAATGTGGGTTAGATGAGGGAACTTCTGACCATATTTTTTTTTAACTGTCCTAAATTATCTTCTTCACTCTATGATCACCTCCCTCCTGACATCCCTCGTCCTATAAATTTTGATTCACTTTTAACCTACACAAACACTCCTTATGTATATATTCTGTGTGATTTTATTAACTCTAATAGTATAAAAGTTTAATGTTTGTCAATACTAATATACTAAAGTAATTATAGCAACTGTGTTTGTCATTTGTCCTAGGTAATTCAACAGTACAACCACTAGTATTATAAGATAAAAAGGAAAATTTAATTGTTGAAATAAAACAAGACACTTGTATTATCACAATCTTCTTTAGTTCATGGGCATAGTATTTGTAACTACTGAGCTTGTACTCAATAAACACTTCCACGCTGACATTGGCGAATAATCGAAAACCGCCAAAAAAAAAAGAAAGAAAGAAGAAATATAATTGTACTGTCGTCAGCAAATAAAATAGTGTCACTGCTTGTTACTATCGGGAGATCATTTATGTATATAATAAATAATAATGGACCCAATACACTGCCTTGTGGCACACCAAAGTTATTGATTTTGTACTCTAATTCATAGTCACATACTATTTTTTTGTTAGGATTCAATCTCGTTATTTGTGTAGACTGTTTTCTGTTACCAAGATAGCTCTTAATAAGATCATGCGTATTTCCCCTGACTCCATAGGCAAATAACTTATACAGCAATATTTTGTGGTCAACTTAGTCAAATGCCTTTGTTTGGTCCATATAAAGGGCGCAGGCATGATTTTTATTATACATGTTTACCATAACACTCTTTAAAAAGGAGAAAACTGCCATATTTATAGTTTTGTTCTTTCTGAAACCTACCTGCTCTTTCGAAAATAAATTATTTGTTTCGAAATAATTATTTAATCTTTGATGAATTACTTTTTCAAAAACTTTAGATAGAACCGGTACTAATGCTATCAGTCTATAACAGCTCATGTCATTTGTGTTGTTTTTCTTAAAAATAGGTTTGATTATGATTAACTTTAATTTGTCAGAAAAAAGGCCATGATAAATGCATTGATTGATAATATGACTCAGTACATGTGATAATTTGATACTCGAAACATATTTTAATGCTTTGGTTGAAATATCATCGTAACCCGTACTATTCGTAGTTTTTAATTTAAAATAATTTATTTATTTCATTCGGTGTTGCGGGTTTCATAAATAAAGATTTAGATTCACTTGAAATATTAATTGGTGTTCTATGCGGGACCAATTTGGTGATTTCGTTAATATAATATTCATTAAATTTATTCGCTATGCTTATGGGATGCTTAATTGTAGTTTTTGATTTCCTGATTTGGTAAATTAAGTGTCCTATTATATTATAGTCCAAGTAGCTTTGCATTTGTTACGAGCATTATTTATGATATTGTCGTTTTTAACCTTTTGTGTGAATTTTATAACACGACTCAGTTGATGAAAGTTATAAAACTTCTTTTATTATTTTCTGTTCGGTTTTTCATATATTTCCAAAGAACTTACAGCACTTTTTTATACCTTTCGTTATCCATTTCGGCTTCAGTTTTGTGTCTTTTTTAATATATTTTACAGGAAAACATAAGATATAGAAAAGACGGAAAAAATCATAAAAAATGTTAAACGAAGTATTTGGATTACTATTAAACACATCATTGAAACTTAGAGCGTTAATGCATTCTTTAAATTTATCTAAATTCTCTTTACAGTAGTCCCGCGTTTTAATGTACTAATGTTTGATCAGACAACTTACTTTTACTGGACATGTAAGTACTTGTGCAGTGTGATCAGATAACACAAGTTCCAAAACTCTTGTTTTATAGACACGAACATTATACATGAAATTGTCAATACATGTGCCACTTACCAATTTAGTGGGCTCTTTTACTCCTATTTTCAGGTTATACGCAGACAGAATTTCACTTAACTCAATAGTTTCCTTACTTTTTTTTCAGAGTATTAATATTAAAATCGCCACAGAGTATTACTTTATTTTTTCCAAGGCAAAACTGATTTAATAAAGAAGTAAATGTTGCGAAAAACTTATTGATGTCTTGGGAACTTACCCTGGGGGGTCTGTAAATCCAGAATATATATAGTTTATGTTCAGGTAATTTTATTCCTAAACATTCGATTACACTTTCAATCGAATATTTTTTTATGTTACTGATTTGTATAAACTTTTGAGTTATGTACCAGAATAAAAGATCCACCGCGACGATTCCTACGAGTAACCACTGAACCCAATGAATAATTTGGAATGTTTAAGATATATAAATCACTACTAGACATATTGGGTGCGTCTGGCAGAAAAAAGCGCTTGCAAGCGCTTGTAAGCAAAATGGCGATCGTAAGCGGTAAGCGCTGTCAAATCGTAAGTAGCTATTTTCCTCCAGGACACGATGTTAGTTTTAACCGGGGAATCTAACCTAATTTAAATATATGTTTGTAAAGTATTCATATTAAAAACTTACCAATCATGAGTTTTTAATAGCATGTATATGTTTTTTCATGTCATTATATTACTTACTACTAATATTGCACAAAACAACTTATAAACCCTACTTTAAAACAAACAAATTAAATAAGCAAAATGGCGGATTGTGTCAGCGCTACTGAAGTAACAATCGTGTCCTGGCCGAAAACTATTTTAGCGCTTATAAGCGCTTGCTAGCGCTTTTTTCTGCCAAACGCACCCATTGTTACGCGCTCAAATCGACAATACACTAGCGCCATCTAGTGTCAGGAACGAGAGCGAGGGGAGCATTGAGAAAATGACATCACAAATCACTCAACCGACAGCGCCTAGTCGAAACTCGAACGCTCGGTACCTTGCGCGTGTTTACTTGAACATTCTGGATATTTCTTTGCTAATTTAAATATATAGGCGCTGCAAGATGCGATCGAGGCAGAGTTGAACTCGGCGACACAAGCGAAGCTTCGGAGCGGAATTAAGTGAATTAGTGTGTTTAATTATTAGTGTTTTTAATTTTAATTTGTGTAAAGTAAATTAAAGTGTTAATTTAGGTAATTTTATCGGAAATTTTTATTGTCACGAACCTCAAGCTCGTAACAATATTGTGTTCGGTAATGCATAAAACTTTAACATCTTTTATACTTTATTATTATTATTTTTAGAATCTATAGGATTCTAAAGATGTAGTTAATAAGTCGCACTTGTTTATGAGGCCGTTAATATTTTGATGAAGTATACTTATTTGGTTATACAAGAAAAAAGTTGGTAGAATAAATTTGAGAAAGTGTTTCAATTACCATGTCAGTTTGGGTGCTACTATTAGAAAAGTTATTACATTTTACAAGGCCGACAAACAAGTCAGTTTGGGTACTATTTTCAGTAAAGATCTGCTTGTGTTCCGGTATGTCATTTAAGCTTTTACAGTATACCTCATATTTTAATTTATAATCCACACGTAATATTTATTAGAGAAGTAACTGGCTTGTATGTAGAGGAAGATATTTGCACCTAGGTATCATGACAGAATAATTCATTTCAATAAAATTAACGTACTTCAATTCAGAGCATATAAATTTCATTTCATAATTTAATTTTCTTTCATTAAGATATTTGCAACGTGGTACTTCTGATACTAAAATATTGGTTTGCTCGCATTGTTTAAAAATTGACTAAGGAAAAACAATAGTTCACGAGGATTTTTATCATTAATTCCTCCAAGTATTATTACAAAATCATTGCTGTTCAATTTGCTTAACTCAGATTCTGCAGGCGCTATCACCTCTTATCACTCACCTCACCAAGGGCTCCATACTTCGAGTAGCAAGTTAGTATAAACTCATAACCAACCAAATTCTGCAGTGTTTCTCTTATTTTATAACCTTGTTCGTCCGCTACAATAAAAATTTTTCGTTTCACTACTTTATTACCCTTTTCATGGGAATTTATTTGCTCTTTACTTGCATACAGAAGAGGAGTGTCACAGTTTATTTCTGTTTTTTGTTCAATATCTTTTTGCAACATGATATTTGATAATGTAGTACAATAGGCAGGCAAGTTCATGGGTTTTTCAGACGGTAATGTCATAATATTTAAGTTGTCATTATTTATCGCATTTTGTTCTAATTCATCTAAAGGTCGATTTGTTTTGGAAATTGGGGGATTATTTATACTTTGACCATCTGTTCCTGAGTTTGTTATTTGCGCTGGAATTTTTAAGATCTTATTTTGTGAATACTTTATTTTGCGTCTTGGTGTAGGCGTCATACTTTTCCTATCAAATGCATTTATTCTTTTGTATGAATCTATTATTTTTAAGGACTTATCAAGATCAACTTTTAGACGAAAATATTCGGAATTTACGTTCTCAATCTCTTGATTAGCACTTAGACGATCGTTTGTTAATGACTTAATTTTTTCATTTAAGTCTTGTAAAGTTTGACTATTGTTGTGTAAGGTGTCAGGTAGCCTCATTATTGTCGTATCGAAAAGGCGTGATTCTTCGATGTTGGTCATGTCACTTAGTGAACTAGTTCTGTAAGGCTTTCAATATGTTATGTTTTCTAAATCCATGTTTCGTTGAGTCTGTTCTGTTTTGTATAATAATTGTAATTAATTTTGTTGTCGTTTATACGAGTATACCATTTGGCAAGCTAAGAAATTATTTTTGATGTCTTCTTAAATTTATGAAAACGAAGAAATCACAAAAAGTGTAATTGCTGTTTTGTGGGATCCGAGCTCACACTTCGTCAACTATGTGGTCAACCAAGTGGTCAACACTTAATGCATCGCGCTACCTGTTCATTTTCTAATGTGAAATTGCGGTATAGGTTGTTCGTCGATAACAAATAAAAGTTCGTTAAACAGATTTAAAATTGTTCCATAGTTCAAAGTCAATTCTTTTTGTTTAACGATGACCGCTGTTTTTTTTTTCGTTTTTGTTGGTTGTATTACTTTTTTCACTTTGTCACTTATAACACTTATTGTTTATTTTAAATAGTATACATTACACTTTGAGCACATTATTTGAGTTTTATTAGAATTAATATTGCCTTTCACTGCTGAAGTTTTTTTTTGTGTTTTTCTTTGTTTTTATTTGAATCAATAGATAACATTATCACTAAAGTCTAAGTCTAATAGTTTATGTCCTTATCCACTCAATGAACTACACATAATACATATATAATCACGTTTAGTAGTTTTAACCGATAAAATATACAGAGGTAAATTTAACACGTCTTATACTGACAGCGTCCCCGCCTACTTTAGAGTAATATATAGGAATAATTGTGATTTTCACGCTGCCAACATCCGCTTGGTATGTTTTTTTTGTTATCAAAATACAATAAAATCTTTTTGTAATGAAGTAAACCCTGACTTTTATTTAGACCACAGGATAGAAAATTTTGTATAGATTTTATAATGCCAAACTTTTTCATTAAAAAGTAGTTTAAATATAAGCTTTAATGATTTTAAGTGTGTGGGTGGGTGCGGTCGCATGCGACCGCTCGGGATTTACCAGGCGCATGCGATTGCATAGGAATTTTATGGGGATTGAAGGGTTAATCAGAGTAAGAGTGTCCTTTAATTAGCCGACACGATAATGATATACCGTCGCCAAAACAAGCTCACCAGGGTCGGATCGCTGAAACGTGTTGAGCGACTTATGGTACTTTTTCGATGACGGACACACCGATTAACCAGAGCTGACAGACTATCCGCATAGACAGGTTATCGGCAATGATATATTAGTCCTACGTCTGGTAGGCACGTGATAGGTAAAGCAGATACAGTAAATAAGAATATTGTCTACCCTATTGAATTTAAACAATATGACTGCTAGCCTAGCCATGAAAGTTCTACTGTGTGGAGACTTACCGTTAGTTCAGAATGGAACTAAAAAACTATCGCTTCGAAAAACTTTTAAAAAACTAAGGGCGTTGTTTGGAGATAGGATGGTCTATTGGCTTATTGTTACTTCTCGTAGCTTCTTTGTTGAGAGAAATAGAGGATGCGACACGCTCGCCAAAGTGCCAAATGGCCGAGGTTTTTGTCGGCACCGAGCAAGCCCGTAATGACGGTATTTTCAGGGATCACACCTCATAAGAACAAACTTACCCGGTCACTGGGCAAGCATGGGAAGAACTTGTATCGAGTCTGCTACCGTTAAAACCTCGGAATCCTTCTGGCATGTCATAGACCATTTCTCGCGGTTCTTTAGAGGCTGAGGAATTTTTAGCTTAACTGCCTGAAGCCAAGAAGATGATATACTCTATAAAATCAGCCAAAACTCAAGCGTGACACGCCGTTAGGAGCTGCACCGCCCGGAGTGAGATATATGAGGCAGCCGTCTGTTTAGCCACTACTTCTGTGGCGCAGGTTGTTGGCAGTATCTGTATGTTGGAATTGGTAAGGAGCGCTAAGCAAGTCTGAGGCCATTCGTTTGTACAGAGGCCACATATCATTGTCAATGATATCCGTAATCAAGTTAGCTCCAACATGAGGTATCTTGGACGTATTCTTAATAGATGCTAAAGCTTTTGCGGACACTTCAGTTCTAATAGAATTGACAGATGCCTTAAAGAATTTTCGAAGGCGCGATGCAAATTGCCACCGTATCTTCTTGTGTGTGTTGCGGTCCATGGCTTTGTATGGGGTACTCATATGGATTGGGTCTCTAACGGAAAAAACCAGCGCCATCCTGAGTTGGCCCCAGAGAGCGATGGCTGTAACAAAGGAACCGGACGATCACCGAGGAAGCGGCATGCAACCATTACATCAGATTTGATAGACCACAAATCCTCGCGAAAGAACACCGATTCCTACCAAGGATGATACGTGAGGCTATTGAAATTAAAAAAACATCCTAATTTCAATAGAGAAGGAGGCTGGGTACTACCACCTGCTTGGGATCCTATAATCAATAAAATTAAAACTAAACCCAAGCATACCACTGCAAGACCTCAGGACATAGTCAGTTCATTTTGCATAGATCCGACCATAAACAATAATTAAAAAGATGAAGGTACTCCGAGTTTAACAATGACATCGGGACGTCAGTCATCTCAGTCCCCAGTGACCATGGGTGCTGGAAAGCGCCCGAAACGTCGGGAATTAAAAATAAAAAGTAAAAATAAATGCGATAAAATCCGTAAAAGTAGTTTTAATCATGTGCAATGTTCGCGTAAATATAAGAAATCATTGTATCTAGAAGTTTTTCATTAAACGACATTGTTCAGCCAACGAAGAAACCTTTTAAGACAAACCGAATATCGTCTTATTTAGTAGACCCATTTTTATATAGACTTAGTCCCCGGCTGCAATATGGACTTATTTCTCCATCTACGCTTAGTACAAGGACTTTTTACACCCCTATGCTACATCCCAAATACAAAGAACAAATAATTTGTACGTTGTAGTAATGACAATTAACTTTGTTCTGTACTTCTGTGATCCTTGGTACATGTTTCAAGTAGATGGAGTAAGACTATAAATCTATGCCTAAGCCACAGATTTTATAACCTAAACGTGCTCATATAAACCAGAAGAATAAAGCAAAAAGCAGACCTCCCAGATGTATGAAGATCTAATAAAATTACGATAAGATTATTATCATTAACTAATTTTAATTAATAAACATGAATGATCATACATAGATATATTATTAAATCATTTCAAATTAAAATCTTAAAAATCGAAGTTAAAGTTATTAGGTTAAGTTATTCATCCATTAGTACATATTTTCTTGGTTTGTAGGACAATACATACCCAAAAAATTGCGACAATTTCTACAATAATGATAAACATTTTTACAAGAACGTAAAACATAAGGCAAAGGAGCACAAATCCAACAACAAAAAATACACAGGGTAGCTGCACACAAATGTGTACAGACTGTTACCCTGCTAGTTATCATACTCATACCAGCATATCCACATTCGGGACAAATTACAGGCATTGATGTAAAACCATAATTGTATACTATTGGAGGAGGTGGTATTGGGTTATCTACGTATACATCAAAAGCTGTAGCGTAATTCGGAGGCGGAGGACGTAAAACAAACGACGGAGATGGAATAAAAGTACCCATAAATCTTGGCCGGCGCCTTAAGTTCATTTGTCTTAATACAAACGAATATGATGGCGGGGCACTGGTTAGGGAGTTTGGAGTACATAAACCTGCAGACGTTTCTCGATCATTATTGAATCTACAGGTTATTTGTTTAGAAGGGGATTCAAAATTACTTCTAACTGCATAAATATTTTTGAATGTAGAAATACTGATAGAACTTTCATTTAATTTTGATAAGCACAGTTGGAATAATGTTGGTAATTTAATAGATTTATTTGGTGTATTTTGAAATACGGAAGATGCATTATGTAACGATATTCGAAGTGGTTGACTAGTTGTTGGAACTGATGAGGAAAAAAATTTATTTGAAAAACTTAATGATAAAGATGATGTAGGCGAACACAGATTAGGAATTTTCCCACCAAATAAGCTGTTAGATGCAATTTTTAACATAGCATCTTCTGGTATTTGATGATTCATAGTGCTTATTGGTTTCGTTACAATTCCCGATGGTTGTGTGGATTCAACATCGTTAGATATTTGTGACGCAGGTGACTCTTGAACATCCTCTATATTAGTAAGTTTTGCAGCATCATTATTAGATTCCATGTTTTTGTATTCATTCACTTTATTTACTGTGTATTACATAATATGAGTACATATATTCAGCGATTAAATTTTCTTTCCTTTGCATGTTTTAAATGACAAGTTTTGGCAGTAAAATACGTTATTGCCATTAATGGTAATTAATATTTTCAGTTTATTAAAAGTATTGTCTATGATTACTATTTTGAAATTTTGAATGACAAATGTAAATAAACTATGGGCAAAGAGAATATAATATCTCAGAGTAATTACTAGCATAGTAAGAGTCCTAAAATAAGAATAAAATTCTTATAGCTGAACTTTTTATACATAAGGCGTTTAACAGGGTACAAAATAAGATAGCTATACTCGCATTATTCTCACTTTTTTTCTTTTACAAGGTTGTTGCCGTTCTTCCATTCCATAGAAACCTCCATTGTAGCGCTATAATATTACACTACCCTGAATCAGGGTCACTACGCCCTTAATAAGGGTGATGTTATAAGAGTAAGGGACTTTAATTAGAACATCAAAGTGGATTCAGTCTGCAATGGCTACGTTAGTACTCTTATTAGTTTGTGGCAATGGCCTTGCCACCGTGCAGAGTAATAACACAAAGGGCAGTTACGGCACTTATTCAATGCGCGACTAGGGATGCAAACGATACATCAATTCTTTCAAACATCGATATATCGTTCATAAACACATAAACATGGTTGTTCATGAGCGATGTTTTATCTGCGATGTTTTGGCTTGCCGTCAAAGATTACGAAATAACCAACTATTTTAGGTATAAAATTCCGTATGTTAAAAGTTGCGAACGATGATTATCACTTAACTATCATTAAAATAGGCAATAAACACTGCTATTGTTTTAGAATGATGTGTTCTCCTATAATTGGTAGTACATAGTAATTTATAGATGTAAAGCATGTGTTAGAAGTAATTTAATATGTACAACTGTTGTAGATCCATACAAATAAAAAATACGTGTGGCACTCGGTGACTGCCGCGGTAAAGCTATTGCATAGCATTTTTTATCAACTTATACAATTATAATTATTTATTTATTTTATTTATGCAGTTAAGTCTTTGATATTAAATCAAGTTACTCTTTTTGAGCGTGGTGACCGATAAGAAAACAATTTTTTTTCTCTTATTGAATAAATGAAAAGTTAATATTGTTTAAAATATTTTTAATATCTTACAATACATGTAGGTTATTCAGGAATTTTTATCATTGAGTTAGCAGCTAGTGTACACGCATGCGTCTAGTCGCACGCACACAAACACCGTGCCGAAGTCTGCCGAGTGCCGAAGTCTGCCGAACTGAAACGACGTTAGACGATGCACGGCTTTCAACGCCACACCTCCGTGCCCGTCGGAGTGGGGAGCGTGAGGTTTTTTTTCGTTACGGAATTTCTGGATTCGGTCCCCGCGCTCAAAGCCCGCGATAGAAGCATAGAGGAAAGTAATATATCGTACATAGAGAACCCACTCGTGGAATTTATTGAAAACCGCAAATGTCAATTGATGTGATAAATAGCGCCATCTATTATCGCCATCCATAAACTTAACATCTATAGCTATAGCTGGCTATAGGTACTATATAGGCAATAGTAGCTTTTTCCTTCATCCTTACTTCTTTACTTGTATTCAAGTTGATAAAGTTTTACTTGACTTTATTTAACAAAATCTTAGTAAAACTTTATCAAATTAAAAACAAGCCAATTAGTAAGGATGCATCAATTTCAAAAGGTTATTGGATAAAAAAAAAAAAAAAACAACTTTTATTTTACAATATTATTTATTTATTTACCTTGTGTTTATTATTATAAGCTTGGGCTGCTGCTTTAGTTTCATCCTCACCATGGTATTTGATTTTACCAGACAAAATCCGGTTTATTGAACGGCACCAACTATATATAAACACATGAATAATTGTGTTTTCAAAATAATTTCGTAATATTTTTTGATGTTTTTCACAACTAAATGGAAAGTCAACAAATATGTCGGTAAACATTTTTATTTTACTTTTTAAACCCATTTTTGGAACATCTTTTTTTTAGTATGTCTGTCACTAAATTTTGAATTTGGACAAAACATTTTTCCATTCCTTCAGATGGGTATATTAAAGAATGTTTACCTTTTTTATATTCTTTTGCCCGTATATAATCATTGGATTTGCTTTCAGGTCTGCCATACATATCTTTTTTTACATACTTTGCAGCTTTTTGAAACATTTTTTATGCATTTCCCAAGGACCCACCCACACACATAATTGCCCTGACCAGCATCATTTATACTGGTATTTAAATTGATGAAAGGCACTACAATTTCGTCTTCTATGCTTTCAGAAAATTGTAGTGTTTCCTCATAAATGGGACTAGGAATATCAGAAGTTGACGCGATATTTTCTCTTACAAAAAAATCTAGATTCTGCAAGCAGCTATCGTCGTCTTTTTCGCAGTTTGCATGCAGAGAATGGGGCGAGTTAAAATTATTAATTAAAAGGGACTTAAAGGCCCCTTCAAACGCAACCGTGTCTGGTGCAGTATTTCTCGCCCCATAACTTCTGATATTCCCAAAGAAATTCTCTAGTGGGTCCTGGTTGAAATTACGTGTTAGCATAGCATCAAATGAATATGTTTGGGACAGCAATATCCATAATTGTTGCATTCCTTTAATTGTACGTATGAAGTTTTTTATAGATGGTATAGCTTTTGTTTCAATCAAACGGATTTTGTTATTTTTGTCCTTAATTTTTTTAATAAATGTTACAGTTTTCAAAACTTTTATGGCATTCTTCCACAAATCATGGTGTGGACTAGATCGTCTAACACATCCTTTATATATTTTGCCATCAGGCACATGAAATGTGTTAGAATTTAAAGAATCAAAAAGATTGTCTATTAATTTTGTAAATTTTACCACATTTTGGCATTCTACCGGAATGTCTCCTCTTGCCACCAGATGTCCTGCAGTCGCAGCTACCGTGTGACTGAAAATTTGGGCTGCTGTTTTCACTTTCATTTTTCTAATTTTATCGACATAGATGTGCTCATCTGTGACTTTTAGTAGGCACCTCACCTCTCCATACGACTTATCAGCTTCATAAGTTTGCTTATAGTAATCCCATTTGATGATTTTTTCGCACTTTTCTTCAAAATCATAGTATTTTAAATCTTTCGTGAGTAAATTGTTTCGGACTCCTTTTAGTAAATGTGGAACATCAAATAGAGGGATTACTTTTGTTTTTCCTATTTCAATGATTTCATACCTAAATTCCTTTTCTTCTCTTAAATATTTTTTTCTTGTATCTTCTACCAAGTCATTTATTACACTTACATTGACTGTACTTTGATCACAGACAGTACATATGATCTTTAACCCAGTACTATATACATACTTAATAACTTTTTGTAACATTTCTTTTAATTGAGGTTTATTCACTGAGTTGGTGAAATAATACGCAATGGGTTGCTTAAATTTCTTTTTTAACCCCTTCACCATGAAGACCAATACATGGTCAGCAATTTTTTTGCCATCAAATGAGAACCATCTAAGCTGGTCTTTAGCAGCGTTATAATGGATTTGAGGGGATATTGACATTTCATCGAAAATTAAGCTGCATAAGCGGTCTTCTGTACATAGCTCCTTGACGGTATTTTTAATTTTCATAAATATGCATTTATTAAGGCCCGGCTTCACTTCTATTTTGGTCAAAAGTCTTTTTAATGATTTAGTTGAAGGCAATGTGAAATATTTTGCCAAAAGAGGGTAGCTTCTTGGACTCTTTTTATATAAAGAAAGCGAGAGCACTTTTTCTTCGAGAGAGAATCTGCGACCATGAGGCCTCTTGCTTGTCTGGGTGTACTGCATTTTTGTGAAAATTTTTGCTGCTACGGTCATTTTGTTCGTCAGTTTTTTAAATAAAATATCTGTAGACATTTTTTCAGCATTGGCTATTCTGGATTGAAAGGTTTTGTTTTTCTTTTGTGATCTGATCAAGTTTGATTGCAAAACTTTAATTTTTCTTCTTGTTGTTTTAAGCTGGTTCAACCAGAATGACGGCCACTCCTGCTGCTGATAATTATCTGTAAAAAATTTGATTTGCATAATTTTTGGATATGTGAATGAATATGTGAACCCATTTTTTTAATAGGATAGGGAGACAAACGAGCACACAGTCCACCTGATGGTAAGTGGTTGTTGTGGCCAAGAGACATCTACATCTATCCTCAACTACGAATCAAAATGCAGACGCATTGTTAGCTGTGAGGACTAAGATGTAATGTCTCATTACCAGTAAATAGGGTATCAGGTTCTCAACGCTCACCACACAAAACACAGCAGCAGTCAGTTACTATTTTACGCTGGTATTCTGTGAGAGTATGGTCCTTCCCCAGTCGAGCTGAGCCATTCATGCTACAACTATACTCTAATATAACTGCAACATGACTCTACTACGTAAAGTAAATTTTTTTGGCAATGGAAACAATAGACAATATTGTTGCCTTCCGAAGGAGCCTATTTTTATCTCAAAAAGACTAAAAGTTTGAGAGATATGATATTTTTGTACACACGTAGATAATATGTCAAGAAAAAACAATAGGGCTGTCACATAGAGGGGAAGAGGATTAGAACTGTGTGTAGTGTATGTGTGTATTAAAAATGTTGTAATACACGTATTAAGTAATAAGACAAAAGAAGTCGCATAGACGCGTGACCTTGTCGCTGCTATGATGTGTTGACGAACATCATTCACCATTTTGTGATTAAGTTGCGCGGGGAACGTCGTCCGTGAATTTATGTTACTATAAATTTATAATGGTGAACTGCAGCATAATCAGTTGTAAAAACTCATCAAGGATGTGTAATTCAACTAATAAAGGCATAACATTTCATCAGTAAGTTGATAGTTTACTAATTTTCATTGTTTTAACTAATTTAGATCTAGACGAATACTTTACTATGATATTTACCTTTGTAAACTCTCACATTAGTACATACTTATTAGTTTTCGTATTGTACAATTAACATTGCTGCTTTTTTTGCATTGACAAACTCACCAAGCAATGTAATGTGAAACATTAGATATCATTGTGCATTGTGCGTATGTTTATAATACGGTAAGATGTGGCGACATCGGTTATGGAAGTAATCGAGCGCTAATTCATTTCTATTGTCTTATTATTACTATTTCTGTGCACTGTATGTATTTATTTATATGTCATTAGCTTTTACAAAATTATGGCCAATTACTATCCATTTGATTTTTAGTCGGGATTGGGGATTTCGGATGTTTTTTAGGAAAACACCATAGTGCTTTTCTTAAAAGTGCACTCTGTTTCCTAATCCCCTAAATATCTAAAAAAACTTACTATTGTTTTTATGTATTGCCTTCTTCTGCAGTCGGCAATAATTGTGTTCTGAATTGATTCTGGCAGAGTTATTTGTAATAAGAAAGAAAAATTCATGAGAAATATTGATTTTGTTAGTGTGTTATTTTTAGATTTAATTTAGTCCAACTTTATGTATATAAATTTACCAACAACATGAATGTAATAAATATTTGGAATTAATATGTCAGTACCTGTCGTTGTCAGTTTTAATGTAGCAAGGCTGCTTTCTTCATTCACAGGTTCAGGTACAAGTAAAACTTTCTCTGAAGTAACAACTTCATCAGACTTGCCTGAAACATAAGATATATGTTTTAAGTCTAATGCTGAGCACAGAAACATAGGAAGATGGTGTCATAAAACACCATGCAGATCGGCTCGACATTTTATAGTCATGTAGCGCTGCACCAAGCTATTTAGTCTAAATTACATTTTCAATGATGATGAATTTAACTGTATTGAGCCCAATAACTATAACATTTAGAGTATATTTTATTAGGTTAGGCCCAAAATTTTATAATGGTACAATTGTATTTAATTTGTTATAACAAGTAACTATATAACTGATGGGCGATAAGGACCTTTTGAAGATGCTGATGGCACCTAGACGACTATTCCCTTAAAAAAAAACTATTTTGCTTTTCTTTAATTGCTGCCTACGATAATAATTGCAATCAATATGTAAGTACCTGTTAGTGTTGATTTTAATGTAGCAAGGCTGTTTTCTTTATTCACAGGTTCAGGTATTAGTAAAACTTTCTCTGAAGTATCATCATCGTTAGACTTGCCTGAAAAATAAGAGATATGTTTTAAGTCTAATGCTGAGCACAGATACATAGGGAGATGGGGTTATAAATCACCATGCAGGTCTGCTCGGCATTTTACAGTCGTGTAGCGCGCACAAAGCTCTAACACCAAGCTTTTCAATGTTGTCGTTTTACTTATCATTGAAGTTGTAATTTAGACTAGAATCTAAATGGCCAATAACTGTATTGAGCTCAATAACTATAACATTTAGAGTATATTTTATTAGGTTAGGCCCAAAATTAATTATGATACAGTTGCATTTAATTTGTCATAACAAGTAATTATATAATTGATTGACGATAATGACCTTTTGAAGACGCTGATAGCATCTAGACTACTAATCCTTTGTTTTTATTTTGGTTTTCTTTAATTGCTACCTATGATAATTGGAATCAATATGTAAGTACCTGTTAGTGTCGGTTTTAATGCAGCAAGGCTGCTTTCTTCATTCACAGGTTCAGGTACAAGTAAAATTTTCTCTGAAGTAACAACTTCATCAGACTTGCCTAAAAAATAAGAGAAAAAATGTTATTTATTTAAAAAATTGATAAAAACTTATAATGTTAAAGAATTTTTAATTAGAAGTGGGATAAAAACATATAAACATCTAATTTTTGCACCACACAGAATATCCACCATAAATATGTTTTCTTATCATTATAAAATAAATATAATACAAGTTGAAAAATTACTAATAAGCATAAAAATAAAACAATACTAGCAATAGAGCCTACATACTAATTAATATAGGGTTTAATATGGGACAACGCATGGTACTGTATTTGCACTTGTTAAAAACATGGGCAAAACGATTTCCCATCATTTAGGCCATTTTTCTTGCCTAATTAGGGAAGTATTTCAGTTAAATATGCAATATTAGCAAAATGCTAACTTCAACTCAAGCCCAGTACCACTATTGTATAATAATTAATATGTAATAAGTTAAAATGCTCTTATTTGTATTATATGTAAATCTTACCAGGAAGATGAAGTGATGGCACAGCTAGAAAATTCAACCGGTTATTACGGTTTCTATCCCTGTCTGTAAAATGGATATCACAGATGACCTTCTTTCTATACAGTTCATAATCAGCAGGACTATCTAACTTCACACCAGCTATATGAACCCAAGCCTTGAAACGGTCAGTATTCTTTTCTGGATGTGGAAATTGATGATAGGAAGTCTCTGAAAAAAAAAGAAAGATCACTTTTAATATTTTTCTTGAAAAGTTTAAAGATCTAAAATAATTTTCCTGAATAATGATGCATAACAATTTTTGCTAATAGAGCCAATGATCCTACTAATACTTAAAAAAAAAAACAGACAAGTGCAAGTCAGACTCTTACAAAAAAGGTTATACCACCATATAATATTTGTAAATAGCTTTTCTAAACGTGCAAAATAAAGTTTGATTAAGGCATTTAGTTTTTAAAAATACTCTTGCTCAAGCATGTGGATTTAAATGTGCCAGTACTTATCTTTAATATACCTAAAACTGTGCTATGGCTTAGGACTTACAACTAATCTATAGTTTATATCGAAGTGAAATGCTACACTTTAGGTTTTAAAGTTATTGGTTCAAATTGCCTTTAATTTTTTACATAAATGATCATTTAATTTTAATCTTGTTTGTATGAAGGTGACACTGAAAGTTTTTGGAACTGGCCACTTGTAAACACTATATAATAAAAAAGTAAGTTCAAATTTTGAAAATTGAACTATTTGCCAATATTATTGTGTATGTATTTTATTAATTTGTCATTTGTTTATGATTTATAGATTCATACCTCATTATTTGACAGAGGCCCAAAAACTCCATCATGTTGATTATTGTCGTAAAATGGTTTAAAGATTTAACTGAGGTTACACAAATGCTGTGTTTGACATACTTACAGGTGACGAAAGCTGGATTTATTGTTATGATCCTGAAACTAAGAGACAGTCTGCTGTCTTGGTTTTTCCTTCCAAGGAAATGCCAATTAAAGTGAAGAGAGGTTGAAGCGTGGGAAATAAGATGGTGACCTCGTTCTTCGGAAGGACAGGTCATTATGCAACAATTGTTTCAGAGAATTGTAAAACAGTTACTGCAGAGTGGTTCACTAACAATTGTTTGCTACTTGTCTTGGAAAATGTTCGGGAGAAATAACCTCACAGTAGGATCTTACTTCACAACGAAAACGCCTCGTCTCACACCGCCAAGCAAACAATCGACTACTTGGCAACATCAGACGTGGAATTACTGGGTCACCCTCCCTATAGCACCGACCTCGCACTTTGCGATGTTTATTTATTTCCGAAAACAAAAGAAAAAACTTTGAAGAAAATGTTTAATGGACACCGAGGAAGCAATGGCTGCATTTCAAAATGTCGTCTAAGAGAATGCTAAGGGCAAGTAAGCAAAGTGCTTTTCTCGGTGATTCCATTGGATGCAGCAATGTATTGATGTAAATAGACACCATTTTGGAAAGATATAATAAAACTAATAACTTGCTAGTTTATTCAGTTTTTGATTTTCTAAGAACTTTCAGTATCACCTTTTATGTTGCCCTATTAATATTTCAACTAATCTCACAGATTAAAAATAAAGATTATGTAAGTGTACTTAGTTAAGAAATCTCCTGAATGCAAAAATTGGTTTGTAATACATGAGTATACAAGTTCTTTATTACAGAATTGTAATTCCATGGCTACTCCAATCCTCATTGATTTTGTTATTTATGCCATTTTACAAAAATTTAATATTGCTATAACTATTTTGTAATGTTGCTATCACATTATTCTTTGATGTAGCTATTAATGAAAAATATTTTACACTTTGCTTGTATAATTACCTTGAAATGCATTAATTAAAGTAGTGCATGTAATGCAGTGTTATAATTTTTACTAATATGTTAGTTGCAATAGAATACTTTTGTAGATTAGATATATCATGTATTAAACTAAATGTGAGAGCATTTAAGACTGGTTTGTAAGTTAAGGCTATATTCATACTTATTTCTGTCAAACATTTCTAATGGCTTATGGCCATCAACCGGGAGAGGGAAAGGTATAATTTTAATAAGTACCTACAAATATAAACACAGATAACTGCAGTGATCCATCTATAATGTAAATCTTATTCTATTTATCTATCATTTAGGACAAGAATGTAAGCCACGGTGGTTCAGATGGTTAGCGCTCGCTGTAAACTTCACATTATGCAAGCAAATCAGGTTGGGTCCCTGCTGGCACCAATGAAATTCATAGTTGCAATTTTAAGTGTTGATTTACCACATGCTCGGCGGTGAAGGAAAACATCCTGAGGAAAGCTGCATATCTGAGAAATAAGAAAAAATATTTCGGAGAAACGAGAAATTCGCTAACCTGCAACGGGGTAACACGGCGAACACTTCCTTGCCCTAAAACCATCTAAGAAGCGGGGGTACCTGTGCCCAGCAGTGGGACGTATATAGGCTGTAATTTTATGTAAGTTGTAAGTTGAAGTTGACAAGGCACTGTGGAATTCTATGGAGGCAAGATGGCAGAGATATAATGATGATTATACTTACTGTTTGAACATCCCAATGCACACCGTTTAGGCATGATAAAAACAAATCACAAGCGTCTATATCGCAAAGAAACAGCACAAACGAAGCGTCCGGGTCGCAAAAAAACGATTGCACTAGAATGACGGAGGAACAGCTCAACTCACACTATAACTTCGGAAAATTCTTACACTTCACTACGGAGGATAGGACTCAACTCAACGTGGATCGGCGGATTAATTTCACGAAGAAAAGCACAAAGATGGGACGAAAACTACAAACACGCGCAAACGCAAGGAGCAGTCGCCATATTTGTGATGACGTGACTCATAGAGGAAAGTAATATATCGTACAACGTGACTATTTGACATTTGACAATCATTAGAAATCGTTCACAGTGTTGCTATCGTAATTATTACGCAGCTTGTAATCTACACAAATATTTATATATAATTATACTAAAATGATACGTAACGGAATTAATATTTTTACATTATTTTTCAGTCATAAATTATATTTGCGTCGATCGTAACGCCATCTGCGGTGACATAAAGTAACTCATTATTTTGGATGGCGATAACAGATGTCGCATTTCGAAAAAATGACGTCAAATCTGTTAATATATGGAACTGTCCTACCCCTGGATAGAAGCTATGCAATAGCTTAATAAATAAATAAATCACGAATTTTATGTCGCCGAAAAATAAATATTCAAAAAAAAAATATGTCGAAGTTAGATAACGTCTAAATTTTTAAATTTGGAAGTTTTTATTTTGCAGAAATAACTCAATCCCGAAGTTTTTTTTCAAACAACAAAGTAAAATTGTCTTCAATCGGTAATTCCATTTGCGATGAAAAATTGTAATTATTTTTATTGTGATAATTAATCAACATATGCTTTCAAATATTGAAAGTGGATTGAAATTGTTTTATTCATTTTCTGTTTGTGCTATAACTTAAGTACAGACTGATAAGGAAATTATTTTATCGGCTTACGTTACTTCGTATTTCGTTACAATCACTTTTCCGAAATATTGATTTTGATGAATGAACGGTTATTCAGCTGTTTGTATTGCGGTATAATTTCGTAGATGTATTCAGAAAATGCGATAATACTGAAGGTGACGTATGGAAGTGGAACTAACATAAAGTATTAACTCACCACAATATAAAAAATAAAACTAAGCAGAAGAAAAGTTTCATATATTACATAGATGGATGGCATGGCATGGGATGGGATGGCATGAAAGAGTTATTTCCCACACTTCGCAGCCTAGCTATGATCTATTTGCCTATCGTGGCAACTTCGGTATCCCGTGAGCGGTTATTTTCGAACCTGGCGTCTAGTAAGCGGTTTCTCTCCTGGGTGCGGTTATCTACAATCACCCAGGAGAGAAACCGCTTAATAGGCGCCAGGTTCTCAAAATTGTTAATTTAAAATTCATTTCGATTTTTGAAAGAAATAAATGTAAAAGTAAAAAAAAATTCATTAATTCTTGTTTTCTGATAATTATTCCATAAAATCAAATATGTAAAAATAAATAGTGTAAAACTTCCTAAAATAACATAAATATAATGTTTGATTATTATACTTCTTTGTTTCATTTCTCTTCAAAATGATTATTTATTCCTTATATGCGTTAGTACTTTTATTAGTTTATGCTTATATGTACAGTAAACCCCCGTTAACACGAATACGAAAAAATCAGACAAATAGTTCGTGTTACAGGGGAGTTCGTGTAATACGAACAATGCAAAAGATGAATTCGTGTTTCTAAACTCAATATTATGATTCATCATAGAAACATTTTTATTAATAACTTTGATATTATTATTTTATATTTACAATATTTTTTATTATAAAATTTCAACTTAACATTATTATTATTTTAAAATTTGAGGTATTGTTTCTACTTTTAGGTACTCGCGTGAATGTTTGATATCCTTTCCTTTGTCTAATTTTAGACACTCGAGTATTGACCGAAAAAGGACAAAAATATAAAAAATATATGATTCGGGAATTTTTATAGTTCGTATTATCCGATAATTAACCGTGAAGGGACGAAAAAGTTGTTCGAAGTTCGGATTAACGAGGGTTCGTCTTAACCGAACATAATTACATTGAAGCTTATGGAACTATTGTCTAGAGCAAATTTTTGTTCGCCTTAAACCAAAATTCGTGTTAACCGTGTTCGCATTAACGAGGGTTTACATATATATTTAAATAGTGATAAATAACATCAAAAAAATCGATATATCGTACATAAGGTTCGATGTTTTTAATGAGCGATGTTGCATTCCATGAAGATTAGAGAAAAGAAGAACGATCACCGTAGAAAATAGTGTCCCAGAAATATGGACACCATAAGTGAGTCGCTGCGATCGCTCGAGGTTCGGACAATAAAAGTCATTTTGAGTCTATTTTTCCGATCAGATGCTAAATCACTTGCACATCCACGCACAATAAAATAATTCTCCATTTTTTAATGTTTCTTTTTGTCAAAAATTACAAAATTACTCATTAAAAATTTTCTCATTAAAAATGAAATGAAAATTTTGTACATTATTCAACTAATTTCATCTACTTGTACTCATAAACAGCTAACTTCGCAGTTACTACTCACCGACGTCAGCGTCGCTATACATTCTACAATTTTCAGGGACAGGCGGGCTATGCTTTAGTACGTAGTGATCGTTCTCCTGTTCTCTAACCTTCATGTTGCATTCTATAGAAGTGCTTACTCGGAAAAATTTTGAATGAAAAATTCACACAACGCGAACTAGACTTGAGTTCCGCAACTAGAGTTAGCAGGACCAAACACAGTAAATGATTTGTTACAATTGCTTTTCATAAATTTGTTTTTCTATCTCTTTCGTGGGTTGGGTCAACTATTATTACTAAACTTGGTACGTAGGATTGAAATAAAAAGTATATTGAGTATGTATCATATACTTATGTATTTTTGGTTTTAATCAATTAGTAAGCACCTACATTTAACAACAGAATTAGCTATATAGCAGTCTTCACAAAACAACATCAGTCTAGTTTTAAGACGTAGGTAAATAAGCTATTTAATAGTTTAAATATTCTTAAATAACTTGGCTATCATAAACTTCTAACTAACAAATTATTTTAATGGTAGCTAATTCTCTTTGAAACACAAGGCGCGCACACAAATAAGCGCATATAAAGTTAGAAATCTTAAAGTCACAAATAATTTTCGCCTAGCAATTTCACTCTATCTTAAAAGTGTATTATTTTTCGATATAAGGAACTAAACTTAATAGCTCCTCGAACTCCTATTCCACTATTCTCAGTTATTAGGAATTCATTTGGCTCCAGAACTCCGATAATCCACATATTTGAGTGATTATATCTAAGTTTTAAGTAGTCTTGTTTTTTTTTCGTCTTCAAAACGTCCAGTAATAAAATTTTGACCCTTATCCTCTTACATCATGCAAAACGTGACGATTATCGATATTTATCGCACGATATATATTGATACTGTTTAAGAATATCGATTCATAAATATATATACCTTTTTCACTTGCCCGTCCCTATGACTGAATAAGGGCGTGAAATCAGTGTAACTGATGACCATAATTAGGGGCCACGCCTAACCTTAATTCAGGACCCTGATTAAAGATAGAGTAAATCGCCTTATTCATGGTCCATGATGACGTACGTCCGCTCAAGGCCGCGGTGCTGAACGTAGCATATACACTATCGTGCGCGCATCTAGCGGGCTAGATTAGTTTATCTATGATGCTAGATCACAGAACACAAATACTCTCTACCGAGAGTGCTAGATGAAACATAACTTTCGAAGGTACGCAATTTATTCGTAATGCCACCAGTGTTGTCAAAACGCCAAAAGATGGGAATTCTGCTTGTGTTATCTTTAGAACAAAAAAAAAGAAAAAGATTCTGAATGAAAACAATCTACAAAAAACGTGCCCAGTATACACAAAGTAATAATATAATGCAAGATTTAAATGTGATAGATTTAACTATTTAACTTTATGAAAACCAATTAAAGCTGACTTTAAAAACTAGTTGAAACTACTGAAGCAGCAGAAGGAACAATAACAGAAGCATTTTATGATCAACTTTCAGCCACATTGGAGACTACCCATAAAAACATAATTGACATAGGGGAATTTAATGGCAAAGTAGGTGCAAGACAGAACAAGGTGTATGTGTAGGTTTCACACCGACAGCATTCGTTAATTTTCGAAACGCTTAGAAATAAAGATATGCGAATGTTAGCTTCTGCATATTTAGACCAAATATTCGATCTGAAAGCTATGTCGTCCGCGAATATCGATAGCCTTTAACAAGTTTTGAATAGATTTGTAACGTCGGTGGCCGCTCTCAAAAATCTTAATTTTAATGACCTTGTGGACTTTATATTTTTACATATTGCGTTAAATAACCTAGACGATCCAAGTGCATTTTCCTCATGCACTAGTGAAAATAATTTGTCGTCTCGCACCACCGCAGTTGCAACTCAATGCCATCAACCTCGAGGCTAGAGTAAGAGTCCACTCTACTCGAGAACCTTTTTTCCACATCGTTTGTCGGATCTTCGAGCTATATGCACGGCCCATTGCCACTTCAGCTTAGTAATCCGTTGGGCTATGTTGGTCACACCGGTTCTACTGCGGATATCCTCATTTCTAAGTTTATATCGGATGTCCACTCGGCTCCATCTAATTAAGTGTCTAACTATTTGTTTGTAATGTTCGGCAAACCTTCATGCAAACACTCGGAAAGAGACAGAGGCAACCGCATGTAATATGTAGGAGTTAAAGAATTTTTCATTAAACAAAAAGGATATACTAATACAGAATGGGTCCCACATATATGCAATAAATGAAACCATATACTTGTTATCGCCTTTGCTGACGATATACAAAAAATGAACGTAATCGGTCCAGTAATTAGGTCAAAAAGTAGAGTTTTAATTTTAAGCAAATTTGAACACTCTATAGATTTGGGTCACTGAGTCAATGATTCAATGAACTTGAATCCTTGAACATTAAAAAGCGACGTTGCCACGCAGTGCAAACTATTGGTATTGCGACATATCGACAGCGGTGTCTTTTGTCGGCGTGCCACCCGCGTGCAACGTTGTCACTCTTCCAAGGGGTCAAGGTACGTTGTCTAAACAGAGTGTTCACTTTTACTGAATTTATTTTAATATTTATTTTGTTTGAAAATTTCACTTTTTTATTTTACGGGTTTTAATTTAATATTTAATTTTTCTACACTTCTACGGACTAGTATTACTTGTGGTTTCATTTATTGCATATATGTGGGACCCATTCTGTATATATTGTAGAGAAGAATTAAAGCCCCGACTTCAGAAAGTGAAATCATTTTGTCATTTTTATTTCTTGGAAGTCAGGATTTACTTCGTTTGTTGTTAAAAATTAACTTCTTGAGTTTGAAACTTCCTTAAAACCGTTGTGATTTAAAATCACTATCGAATTCATGAAAAGAAAAAACGACAAACTATACATCTATAGGATTTAGGCTGCGAGAGAGTTAGATAGAATAAAGTATAAAGTGTTTTTTATTATCTCGGTCTATGTGCGGTGCTTTACAGACGGTTAATATTTTTTTTTCATTGATAACAATCCTCAATTTCATAACTTACCGATTTATATTAAATTAGTCGCGTCTCTAGGCCATCTAGCGTCTATTTTACCCTTTACCCGGAGACCATTTTTAGGGTTCCGTAGTCAACTAGGAACACTTATAGTTTCGCCATGTCTGTCTGTCCGTCTGTCCGTCCTCGCTAAATCTCTGTGACCGTTAGCACTAGAAAGCTGAAATTGGGTACCAATATGTGTATCAATCACGCCGACAAAGTGGTAAAATAAAAATTTGAAAAAATGTTTTATTAGGGTAGACCCCCTATATGTAAAGTGGGAAATGATTTTGTTTTAATTTCAACCCTAACGTGTGATATATTGTTGGAAAGGTATTTAAAAATGAATAGGGGTTTACTAAAATCATTTTTTGAGAATTTCAATAATTTCGGAAATAATCGCTCCAAAAGTAAAAAACAATGTGTCCCCCCCCCCCTCTAACTTTTGAACCATAAGTTTAGAAAATATGAAAAAAATCTGAAAAGTAGAACTTTATAAGGACTTTCTAGGAAAATCATTTTGAACTTGGATGGAAACAACAGTACCCACTACCGGGAACAGTTGCAGGAGCGCGGAGCGCTGCTGGAGCGCGAACATAATGGATACCCACGTTTAAACTCATAAGTGGGAACATTTATTGTGACGGACGGGAAACTACAGAACCCTACACTGAGCGTGACCCGACTGCTCGTGGCCGGTTTTTTGTTACCTATTAAGTAAAAAAAAGAATCGTCAAAATCGGTCCTCAATTGATGGAGAAAAAGTACATATAGCCAAACATAAAACCATTATTTGTAGTGTGCTACAAAAATACGTCGGCACAATGGAAATAATTCTCGATCAATCTTTACATTCGATCCAGTCTTTTTTTTTTTTTGTAGAATAGTTTGACAAACGAGCACACAGTCCACGTGAAGGTAAGTGGATGCTGTGGCCCATAAACATCTACATTTGTCCTCGATTAAGAATTAAAATGCAGATGCGTTGTCACCCGTGATGTCTAAGATGGAATGCCTCGTTTCCAGTTAAAAGGGTATCTGATCTCTACATTAATCATACGAAACATAGCGGCATTGAGCTGCTATTTTACGTTGGTATTCCGTGAGAGCATGGTCCTACCCCGGTCGAGCCGACCAATTCGTACTGCAACTATAATATAGGTGCAACGTGGCTCTACCACGTAAAGAAGTCGTTGCTCTACATTATTACTACTGTTTTATCTCAGAAGGAATGTTTAGACACAAACGAAAATCCGAAAATGGATGTAAATTGCCACCATGGTTCATGACACCGAGGCCAGTGGTTTTGAAAAGCCACAACAGAAATTCTGAATATTCGCCACGTAGAATTATGTGAAGCCCACACTGATTACTCTTACGTCTGACTACTGGATGAACGTTAAGTAATACTGCCTAACAGACATTTAGTTATTATTATATAATAAAAATGTCAGTCGAATACAAATTTATCAGAAAGTTTTAAAGAAGAGTTACATGAACAAGACAGTGAAGAGCGTAAAGAGTTTGCTCTAAGAGAAAGGCCTATAAGAGCTCAAATGGGGCTTGAATATTGAAAAGATTACGTATGCTTATCTAGATAGTGCAAACAATTTATTGCTAACTATTTTTTTCGCAATATGTCAATAAAATTTGAATAAATATTTAAATACGTTCTCTATAAAATATCACTACCTATATTTATTTTTAGCCTAATAAAACTTAACCTCTCAGATTTTGACATTGTTTCGGACCAACACCGTCAGTCCTATGGTGACCCCATAGGACTGACGGAGTTAAGGTCAATAATCTTTTTTTCTTCTCAAAAACCAGGTGCAGTCAACTAATGTATGGAACTTATGGAGCAGTAATAACAGTTTCCGTATATTACGCTCTTATCTATGAATAACAGCACCATTGAATAAATTCGTAGATAACTACGTCGGCTTCGAAGGTCAATGTAGTACTTAACAAACCGTGTAGATGGCGCTGTTACGGAATTATTTCATTTGTGATATTTGTTAAAGTTACTAAGTTATTTAAAAACTTCTAAAATGATGGTATTCACCTAATTTTGTATTCATCTAAATGCCATGTTATCCTGGATTGTATAGGGAAATCTCAGTTTTTTTTTTGAAATAATAATTGTAAAGAAGGCGCTTTACAAACTTTGGAACTTGTACAAACTGACATATAAAAAAAAAAACGTGTGTACGTTTGATTCAAAAATCAAGTTTATTTGCTGGTCAAACTTTACAGCAACAGTTATCTTCTCTGTGTTAGAAGTAAAAGTATTCTGTGCTAATGCGGAGGAATGAAATTCACTAAACTCAAAATAATGTAGATACAGAATTTTAATAAAGTTGAAAATTAAAGGAAAAATACAAACAACAGGACACACGTATTGTATGTTACGTTGAAATTTGAGCAAAAAAAATATGCGTAACCGTTGATTTTTTTAGGTGCTGCCATTTTATAAACTTAATATTCTTTTATAAACAAATCTCACAAATGAAATAGTTCTGTAATAGCACTATCTAGACGGTTTGTAATGTAGTACATCTACCTGCGAATTTATTCAATAGCGCTGTCGGAAGGTCGTCATTGATAGTAAATTATCTTAGTTAATAAGAAGCGTTATTTATAAGACTAATACTAATAATTTTTTTAGAATTTTATTTTCATAATTCTTATAAATTGCATTGTAATCACTGTTTGATTAAAATTTGGTCAATGTATTGTACTGAGATTCCACCGATAAATATTTAAGTTTTGTCTTATTTACATATCAACATCTCACTTTTTCGCATCTCCAGACACATTTTTACCTTGATTTATGACAAATCAAAGCATTTAAGTTTGGCGCGTTTAATATCTGGCCTTTTAACAAATGGCAACTGTCTTTTAGTCAAAGACAAAAAAACATACTCTGTGCTTTTAGTATTGTCAGTCTAGTCAATTCTTCCGGTCTTTTTATCCTCCGTGGCATGGCGGATGGTCTATACCACCGCTTGTAGTGTGTTTTTAGAGGAATTGATTCGCTTATAAAGCGAAATGGTAAGTTCCAGTTAAATAAATGTGTCCTACTATATGGTAATTAGATAAAGTGCTAAAAATAATGGATATTAAGTGCTATCTTGGAGAGGTTTTGTTCATTTATTGCTAATCCCACGTGTTTGTATAAAATTACAATACATAGCTACATCCTGGTATATTTTTGTAAGTTGTCACGTTTTATTAACCTTAAATCTGATATTTTCACCAATTTTATCGTTCCAATTTGTAAATAATTTGATTTGAGTGAGTATTGTTGACTTAGCATACGGCATGTAACCAATTTGTTTCCATGCCTTTGGCTAGGTGTATATTTAGAATTTTTAATTAATATTGTGCTAAACTTTTCTAAATTAGAGGTATAGTTCAATTTTTAACGTTAATGAAAGATTTTAACAATAACGTAATCTTATGAACGCAATTTTATTTTGAGGTTAGTAAAGCCTTGCCTTTTCTACTCACGAATCAATTATAATAATTATAGTTAACCGAAGCTAATATATTTGATGGATGTAACGCTAACGAACATGTCTTACACCTTGAGTAAAATTAAATTTTTCATTGTGTATATATGTCACTACCCCGAACTCTTCCTGGTCGTACTGTTGCTTGTCCTCCAGGTACAGAAAGGGGAATATTAAACATTCTTTTAGGAAACACTGCACATACCAGTTTGAGTAGTGTGTCGACATTAAGAAAACAGCTTTTTTTACGAAGAATGTGTTTACCATGGTTTCATTGTTTTGCAGATTTTTATTTTACTATAATAATACATTATCAGATTTTGACTTAGTCATTTGTTATACCGGATCTTGAATACTGAAATAAATCAAATCACATCAGTACTTCCACTGAAGATGTCAGTAAAGGGTCATAGGTCATAGGACCTAAAAAGATTCTAGGTAATATAGTTAGTTTTACAAGATATTTGGGTACATCATTAACAATATGTAAACAGAACTGATATCCTCCTGGCTGGACTACCCCGACATCTTCATATTATTTGATGAGTAATTTGATGTACTGTTACTTTTATTATTACTTTTTTTTCATTCATTCCTTAAAATATTCATACTTGATAGCAATAAAATAATATATAATTTATTATGATTCAGTTTTTACAAATGCCTAATATCTAGATGTTATTTATCAAAACTAAGTAAAACTCTAGCTACTATGATTATTTCATTGTCATTTTTTGTCTCATTTCGAGGGTGATAACTAAAATCTTTTATTTGCTCCCTAAATAGTTTTAATCACCTAGGATGCATTTTTAATCTGCAACATGTGTACATTTAGATCTAGTCGTAGTAGTAAGTTGTATGTAATAAGTTTGTTAGTACCTGGTTTTGGCACAAAATGAACATAATTGGAGAATCAAATGTCTTATCTATCATTAAAATATCTATCCTATAAAAATTTGGTTACATAAACATAAACACTCACGCCTGTCACCCAAAGGGGTAGGCAGAGACTACAGACTTCCATTTAGCACGATCCTGACATATCTCTCTCGCCTCTTCCACATCCATATACCTACCACATACATGCTCGTTGGTTAAGGGTGTTCTTAATTTGGCCCACTTTTAGTATATCGCCAATTTGGTCGACAAACTTCCGCCTAGGACGTCCCTTTCCGACTCTTCCATTCACTTCTGCAACATATATTTGCTTTGTCAGTCTTTCCGCATTCATTCTTTCTACGTGACCAAACCACCGAAGCATTCCTTTCTTAAAATCTTTTTCCTGGTCACTGTGTCATCTTGCAAACCACACTCTTCTCCCTTTATCACACAGTTTCTCACCCTTTCACTCAGATTCAGCCCTAACATACTCCTTAGCGACTGCATTTCTACTGCATTTATTGTACTTGTGCTTCTTCTGCCACACCCAACTTTCACTACCATATGTTAAAGTAGGAACTAATACAGCATTGTGAATTGCTATATGTGCCTTTTTTGACACATTCTGACTTATCACAATAGAGTGTAGAGCCCCATTTACTTTATTTCCTGCATTCACTCGTCGTTCAATATCCTTATCATATCTCCCATCCCTGCTGAATACACATCCCAAATATACGAACTCATCCACTTGCTCAATTAACTCTCCTTCTATTCTTATTTCACATACTGTTTTGCTTTCTTCTCTTTCAAAAACCATCACTTTCGTCTTACTTGCGTTCACTTTCATTCCCCTTTCTTTTAATGACCCGTTCATTAATGTAACCATCATAAGCAACTAGGCTGCCGACGATGCAAGTATGACTTGATCATCGGCGTACAAAAGGCATTTGATGGTTAACTCACCCATTCTTAACCCGCATTCTTCAACTTTCAAATTTTCCAAACAACTGTCCATAAATAGGTTGGAACAGCTACGGGGAAGCTACACAGCCTTGTCTGACACCTTTATGGATGCCAAACCAGTCCGAGTAGACCCCGTTGATTCTAACACAAGCACTCGAGTCCCTATACAGAGACCTTAATGCCTGTATTAAACCAGTGCTGAACCTAAATGCGTTCAGCGTTTGCCATAACACATCCCTGTCCACTCTGTCATAAGCCTTTTCCAAGTCCATGAACGCACAAAAGACCTTTTTGGTTTTTCGCCAAAAACTTCTCTGCGGTCATGCGCATGGAAAAAACTTGATCTGTACACCCCATTCCCTTTCTAAATCCCGCTTGCACATCCCAAATTTTTTCATCACTTTCTTTCATAACTCTTTCAATTTGTATCTTAGCATACAGTTTTCCGACAATGCTAAGAAGGCTGATACCACTGTAGTTTTTACAGTCCTGCTGTGACCCTTTTCCCATATATATTGGGACTTTCATTTTATCACATTGGGGCTTTGCACCAGTCTCCCAGTACCCGCTTTATTTCCCAACATAAATTAAACAAGGTGTACAGCAGGCCTGCTACCACGTCCTCTCCAGCCCTTAGCATTTGGAGTGAAACTCTATCATATCCGGCTGCCTTACCTACTTTCATGCTTTTCATTGTTTACACTAAGTAAAATAATAATAAAAACATCAACTAATTCTAATTTTACTTTCAGAGTCTATCAGTCGCCCGACCTTTAGTGTCGGTATACTCTGAGAAGAGTGAGGTGGTGCCTGGCTCCTCCATCGCTCTTCCCTTTGTGTTCAAGGCGCCCATCCGCCCAGACCTTGTTAACGATGTTCACGTTTCTATGTCCAAGAACTCTAGGCAGCCATACTGCGTTAGCAAGGAGGCTGGTAAGTGATAAGTATTCAAATAAGATTATGGTAGTTTTAAAACAAATTCGAAATCAACTATAGATACTGATGAAGATATACATTCATGAAGCTAGTTTTTGAGGTTTAAATGACCAAAACTGAAAATTAACCACATTGATTTATAATAGCAGGTCACTTGATGGTAAGTGGATACTGTGGTCTATAATTAACTATATACATCAATAACCAGGGTTCTTTACAATCTTTTTTTTTTTTTTTTTTTGTCTCTATCCCCAGCATTCTTTTGGGGGGGTTGGTGTTTGCTTTGGTGTTTAATAGTTATAAAGGTGAAATAATACTGATTGATGAGATTGTATATGTGGTAGAGCCATGATTCAGCTATTACGGTTGTAGCATGAATGTGTCGGCTTGACCAGGGCAGGACCACACTCTCACAAAATACTAGCTTAAAATAGTTGTTTAATGCTGCTGTGTTTCCTATGGTGAGTGTAGAAAACCAGAGACCTGTTTTACTGGAATCGAGGCATTCCATCTTAGTCCATAAAGGTGACAATGCATCTGCATTTTGATTCTTGAGGTTAAATGTAGATGTCTGGGCTACAGCATCCACTTACCATCAGGTGAACTGTGTGCTCATTTGTCACTGTGATCCTATAAAAAGAAATAAGCTGTAAATGGAAATTTGTCTGATCAGTCAATATTAATCTGCACTAATAATACTACCTGTAACATTGACTTAGAATTTGATCCAGTCTTATTGTCTTCGTGAGCTTGTAAACTCCACTACTGAACATGGGCATTGTTTAATCATCATGCAATGTGCCTTAATAATCACTCTTTCCCAGCAGATTGACTATGGTAGCACCAGACATTTCACTTGTGAAGCTTTATAAACAATTTTACAACCATATAAAAATTTTAAACTTAAAGCTCCTGGTTTTTAATATGTAAAACTAATAATAGAATTTTTTTTTGCACTAAATGTCCACGTTCAGTGAGCTGTAAGTGCTGCTGAGTGTTACTGCGGATTAGTGCTACATTAATGAACCGACTAGGCGTTCCGGGGCCACCCGGTGGTGGTCACGGGTGCAGTGTTGGTGCAACAAAAATAACGTTATATGTCTTCCTTACTTCCTTTCAGAATCTACTACACGAAAAATACGGGTTTTAGTTGTGGATTTGCAGATACTAGCCTAATTAACACTCTTCTTTTTTTAAAATCCAATTATAAAAATGATGCTATTATAAATTGAATAAGTTCAATGCTCTCTTTTCTCACTCATATTGAACAGATTTCATATTTTTATAATTTCAATTTGACCAATTTGTTTTATCAACACAGGTCACCAAACCAGCGCCGAGTCATGGGGTACCGGTCGTGCCGTAGCCCGTATTCCACGTGTCCGTGGTGGTGGTACCCATAGGTAAGGAAACTATATTAAATTTATCATTATTTATATAAATTCTAGATTATGTAAACCAACCAGCTTTTATATCAAGTCAAAGACATTTAATTATGTAGTAGTAATAGACCGGAAAACAGCAACAAATTTGTCATCTGTAACTTTTGTCCTATAGGATATATATTCGATTTTTGTCATTTAGTCTTAGTGACATCGTCAAAAGGTCAAGACGCATTCATTTTATAAATTTAAAAATATTTTTAAAGAAAATATGCCTGGTTGTGCATTAAAGTGTTATAAATCACAATATGGAGCAAAAAATGAACGTGATTTCGGATTATTATCGTAAGAATAATGTGTATTTACCAAATAATCTTTAAATTTTATTATTTCTAGTAGATTGTTCAAGAAGAAAGAAAAATTATTGTAATAAGTGCCTTCTGTTATCCAGTAACATAACTATTTATTTATAAATATGTTATGTTTAGTAGTGTCACCTAGTGGGAAATAGCTAAAATGTTTTCTAAATAATCAGTGTAGTATTGCTATATTTCGCTAGAGGGTGTAATACATGCGCATGGTCACAGCTTTTGTATGTAAATAAGATTTTGTATGATAATAAAAATATATATATATATATATATATATATATATATATATATATATATATATATTTAAATCTCTGTATCAAGTGCACATTTCTGACAAGCAACTTCTAAATAAATAAATGGTTACAAACTGGTTTGTGAAGGTTTCACTGCTTTAAGTATAAGTATGATGGGAGGTCAATAAGTTTGCAGACCCATTCAGATTAGTTAACATGTTTATGCTATGAGAAAAAACTTACTGGCCGAATCTCTGTGTACAAGTATTATATTTTTAATAAGTTTCGAATTTTAAAACTTTTATATACATACACAATATTTCCAAATAAGAGTTAAAAAGTTAATTTAAAAATATAATTAACCTTATTTCTGAATGGAAAAGCACACATCCTACCTCCATCCATCCCGTTCCTACCTCTAAGTTCAATTGAGAATCAGAATGGTATATTGTTGCTAAGTTACAGAAATGATTAACAAATAAATAAGTGTTACTCTTCGTACTTCATGTACTATAATTATTATGTTCTCCGAACTAAATTTCGGTCACGGCATCTGTGCAGGATAGGATTATAGTGTATGAGTGTGTACACAAGCAGTGTGACACGATCGGAAAGAGATTAGGTGAAGGATTAATGGCTTTTCGTACTTTCTGAGGCATGGAGGTGAAATACTGCTGTGTGCCTGCCTACTCCAGGCTAATACAGAGACTGAAATTTAATTTTGGCTTGGGACTACATGATCAGCAGTCTAGTTTACAATCACTAGAAATGAGGTTTTAATGTCATTTTGCAGCTATATTATTGTTGTAGCACAAATGGTTTGGTTTGCCTGGGGAAGGATCATGTTCTCACAAAATATTAGCATAAAATTTTAATAACAGCTGAATGTTTTTGTATTTTGTATGGTGAGTGTGGAAAACCAGAGGCTTCTTACTGATTACAAGGCATCCCATCTAAGATCTCATGACAAAACATCTGCATAATTTTGATTTTTAATGGAGGTTAAGGGGAAATATAACTTCAAATGGCTTAGCAAGATCCTCCGTTATAACAAAAATATTGCAGCATTGAACGAAAACAAAATTCAAATGCTTCCCATTATCACAGCGAAAGGAGCGTCGGAAGCTTGTTGGAAACAAGCTTCAGGATGCCGATAGTTTAGGTAATTTCTTTTTACAGTGAAAATAATGGTAATTTAAAAAAAATAAAAAGCATAAGTCCTGCTTTATAGTTAAAGTTAACTAATAAAGTTAACTAATAAAAAGTATTTTATGAATAGCAGCGGTTTATTGTTCAGTTTGGAAGTAACTTTGGATTTTTTTTCTATTGAGAAAATTTAACAGAATCATGTTTTCGTCTAACCTAGTACTTAACATTAATCCTCAACTTTACCATATATTTATTTCAAAATGAATGCTGCAATATTTTCGGCATAACGGAGGATCTTGCTAAGCCATTTGAGGTTATTTTTCCATTTTGGTTCCATATGGTTACATTTCCCCTTAAATGTAGATATTTTTGGGTCACAGTATCCACGGTGTGAGGAGTGTTGAGGCAGCGCTATGATCTGGTTGCAGGGCGGGGCAGGGTGCGTTCGGCAACATGTGCCGCGGCGGACGCATGTTCGCGCCCACTAAGCCGTGGCGGCGCTGGCACCGGCGCGGCAACCTGCGCCAGCGCCGCGCGGCTGCCGCCGCCGCCGTGGCAGCCGCCGGCGTGCCAGCGCTCGTGCAGGCCCGCGGTCAGTACAAAATGATCTTCTTCAGTGCTTCGCCTCCATCTGTGTATTATGTAAGAAACTCAAGAATATTTTAACTCACTTGCAGGTGTTTTAATAATAAATAATCCTAGGGCTTCTGAAGCGAATTTACGATCAAATACCGGATTAAGGTTTAAGAATGTTTTAAGCCTGGTGTCGGACCAGATCTTAAGAGATTTATTGTGATAAAGAGTTTGAAGGTTAGATGGTAGGGTAGTTTGAAGGGGGCTATGCTGACACATTAAAAACCGACGACAATAGTTTTATGACTATGACCTAATATTCTCACTAAGATCACAGCTATTAGCACAACATATTGTGATCAGTTGTTCTACTAGGTTTGCCACATTTGATTTAATCTAATGGATTATATTAATATAAAAAACATTTAAGGTCTTTTTAAATTAAGTAAACCCTCCACTAAAGCACAGACACTTCTGAAAGGGATTTTAAGCAATTCATTCACAGTAGAGCATGCACCCGGTTCTACCCGGTTCCAAAAAAACCGGGTATAGCCGGTTCCCTATTAGCTAAAAGAACCGGGTCCAAAATAATGATACCCAGTTCTAACCGGTTCTTTTTCAATGGGGTAAATTTAAGCAATTTTTTATTTGACTTATGTTACGGTTCATCACTAAAATATTGAAATACAAGATTTGACCAATGTAGAGCAACTGAACAGAGAACTAGAGAAAGTTATGACAGGGACGAATGGTGATAGTGCTGTTTTAGACGACAGTCTCAAAGTTACCATTAAATTTGAAATGGCTCATTTTGAAAATGGTGGATCAAGAGGCCACTATCTCACAGCAATTTACGATAATAATTTTTTTTTATAAAAAAAGGGTGACAAGCGAGGACACAATCCACCTGATGGTAAGTGGTTGCTGTGGCCCATAGACATCTACATCTATACTTGTTTGCGAATCAAAATGCAGATGCATTGTCAGCCTTGAGGACTAAGATGGAATGTCTCTTTTCCAGTAAAAAGGGTCTCCGGTACTCTACACTCACCATACGAAACACAGCAGCATTAAGCAGCTATTTGATGCTGGTATTCTGTGAGAGTGTGGTCCTTCTCCGGTCGAGCCGACCCATTAGTGCTGCAACTATACCATTAATATAGCTGCAGCATGGCTCTACCACGTAAAATTTAAAGACGATTTGTCATTAAACGATAAAAAGTTTAAACGTTCTCTCATTTTTACGCTCTTATTATGAAAATAACAGACAGGAAGTGTTGATTGTGACTAAATCTAATTTTTTTTGTTTGTATGATTTTATAAGAAAGAGAGACAGTAAGTGAGAAAATAAATCTCGTTGATTTTGTTTCTTTGATTTTATTTCATTCGTTAATTCTTTGAATTGTTTTTCTAAATTTTATTTGTATGAAGCTCAGGAAATAAGCTGTTTTTTTGTTGTTTCATATACAGATGATTTTATAACAATTAGAATTGGAACACATTTATTTGATTAAATACACATCACTATAATCATTAGCACCAAATTAATGTAGTTATTTTGCCCTAAGGATTTTTTTACTATTAAGAACCGAAAAGAACCGGGTACCCAGTTCTGTACGGACCCGGAACCTTTTTATTTATATTGCACAATATATATTTGTATATCAATAATTTGATGGTGCAGTGGCTAAATGTTTAACTGATGTGGAGTACACATTGCTGACAAACACTGACCTACATACTCCTCTTTTAGAACTTTATGTTGTCTAGTCTTGGATATCGGCTACACACATAAAAATAAATAATTTCCCACAAAAACCACACCTGACGTTTAATGCTTCTTCGCCTGGGACCAAAGACCTGAGATTCTTTTTATATTATAGTTGTAGCACAAATGAGTGAACTCAACCGGGGCAGGTCCACACTCTCACAGAATAACAATGTAAAGTAGTAGCGTATAATAAGTGTAGAGAACTGGATGATCTGTTTATTGGAATCGAGACATTCCATCTTTCTTTGCATTTTGATTCTTAATTCTTAATTGATTATTGAGGATAAATGTGAATGTCTGGACCACAGCATCCACTTACCATCAGGTAGATTGTGTGCTATTTTGTCACCCAATGCTATAAAAAAATCCTGGTATTTCTTCATAGTCACTTCATACAACAGCTACAGAATGATGTGAAAATTCTTTACTTTCATTTAAATTATTTGAACAGGTCACATCATTGAGAAGATTCCTGAACTACCTTTGGTAGTCTCTGACAAGGTCCAAGAGATCAATAAGACCAAGCAAGCTGTCATCTTCCTCAGACGCATCAAGGCCTGGTCTGATGTATTGAAGGTATTGTCATTCAGTCTGCTTTTGTCTACTAATGCTGCTACATAAAACTATACATTGCTGGTTTGTTTTAGATAGTTATTTATATAACTAACTGCTATGTTTTGATATCCAATATTGGATTAAATGAATTTTATGAGCTTATTTTGTTTTTAGATCTTTGATATTTTCAACAAGTTTACTCATCTATATTATATGATTATCAGTCCCATATGAAAAATCTCAGCATTTATAGAGCTGTGATTTTTAATTTTTGGGACCATAAAATATTCCTATCACAACAATTGGGTTGAATTATTTCAATCCTGATATAGACCTAGGAAAACAACAACAAGAGAACTGTTTTAGTGTCTTCTAATTTAAATTAAGACTATCTGTTCCCCGCGACTTCGCTGGCGTGTAACTTAGGGTTTAAATTTTTTTTGTACAGAACCTTCATTCTTTCTCTAAAATAAAAGTAGCCTAAGTTATTCTTCGTAACATTAGTGCTCTGAAGAATTGTTCCGACTAATTCCCGCCGCACGATTTCACCATCGCACATCGCGACAATGGGCGGTGGTAATCACTTACCATCAGGTGAGCCATATGCTCGTTTGCCTCCTCACCTATAAAAAAAAAATATTGCAATATTATACTAATGTGCATGTATTTGTTGATAAACATTCATTTTGACTGTATACTGTGGTCCATAGTATTATTTTTTAACACATCTATGTAATTATCTGAACAGGTGTACAAGTCGCAACGACTTCGTGCCGGTAAAGGAAAGATGCGTAACCGTCGTCGCATACAACGCAAGGGCCCCCTCATTATTTATTACAAGGACCAGGTAAGTTCTTGCCGCCAGCAGTCATGTATTACTGATTTATAATAAGTTTTTAAAACATATGTGTGTAGTCCCTCACAAGCCTTACTTGTTTTATACTGTATGAATCAAGTTACGATAGTTGAGGGTAGAATAAACTAACACCCAAAGGAAACATCAACTGACTCCCACCTCAATTGGTGTGTCGACATGTGGTGTACATTAATAAAAAACAAATGCTAATTTGGTTTTTTTTTCTCGAAAATTAAAAAAGATTAGAAATTATTGCATAGATTTTTTATTTTAAATACACACTATATAGTGCAATCTAAGGGACCGAGTCTTTTCTTTGCTAGTCCATGGGTTTGGCCCTTCTATAGAATAAGAGTGATTAACGAGCACACAGTCCACCTGGTTGTAAGTGAATGAAGTGGCCCGTCACCTAAGTCTATCCACAATTAAGAATCAAAAAGGGAGATGGGTTGTCACCCCTAAAATCTTTGATGGAATCGTAACAACCAGTTGTCACCATGTCTATTGTACAATTCTATAATTGGTTTCATATTAATTTGCCCTTTTATGCAGCCTCAGCTTAGTTCATTTTTTTTTACAGGGTCTTACTCGCGCTTTCCGTAACATCCCTGGCGTAGACCTACTCAAAGTTGACAAGTTGAACCTTTTGAAACTGGCCCCTGGTGGCCATGTTGGACGCTTCATCATCTGGACTCAGTCTGCTTTCGAGAGGCTTGGTAAGTACTGAGTATTGTTTCAGTATAAACTGCAAATTTTAGAAAAAAAATCCCTTATTGCAAAGGAATGGTAAATATCTGGGGCACGGCAGTGCCCCGAAGTCGAGCAAAAAAGCGGCACGGCCGTACCATCTTTTCTCGAAGCAATTCAGGTCATTTTCGACCCCCTATAACTTCGTGGTCAATAAAACTAGAAGCCTGAATTTTCAGTAACCGAGTAAGCATTGTATAGATATGGTATATTTCAAATTTCATTCAATTTGAACCAGTAGTTTAAGAATTGTAACCAGTTAAACTTTCTTAATGTTGTCACTCACTGACTGACCAATCATCAAAACTCTAAGGCACTTCTAGCAGACATAGAAGCTTCAAATTTAGAATGCAATTAGTGTTTAGAGTATAAATCAAGGAAAAACTAAAACATTTGTTAATTTCTGTCCAGTTTTCTAGATACACTAACTGCATAAATAACTTTGTAATCCCTTATAAATATATAGAATTACAAAGTTACATTTGCAGTGAATGAACCAGTGTACTTGTATATGTATTACAGTTGTACATAGGTATTTTGTTGGTACTGAAGAAGTAGAAGGTACTGGAAAGGTAAAAAATTAATACTATCTTATATACAAAAAGAAATGAGATGCAATTAAAAACATAACTTGTAAGAAAAAACCAAGTCTCGCAACTCACTTCTTCTACCGTAAAAAGTTGTGAGATCCATGTAATACCATGTCGGTTAATTTATTCAGTTCCTACTTAAGGGTCCTTCTGTTTTAAGTTATTACGTAATTACCTAACCTAACAACATTTTATAGTGACCATATCAATTTTAAAAGTCTTTTATATTTTAAATATATAGATTGACTTGGCAATCGCATTAAGCAATCTAATTTAATATAATACATATTACTTGTGGGATACATTGTGGTTTCATGCGATGGGCAAGTCAATCTATATATTTAAAACATAAAAGACTTTTAACATTGATATGGTCACTATAAAATGTTGTTAGGTTAGCTAATTACGTAATAATTTAAAACAGAAGGACCCTTAAGTAGGAACTGAATAAATTAACCGACTTGGTATTACATGGATCTCACAACTTTTTACGGTAGAAGAACTGAGTTGCAAGACTTGGTTTTTTTTTTACAAGTTACGTTTTTAATTGCATTTATTATTCCTTTGCTACAAGGAATGTTTTTCTATAATTTTAACAAAAACTAAGAACCAAGCCAAGATATGATAAAAAAATACTAAAAAACGACTTGACATTTGAATTCGAGTTTTAAGCCATCAGAATAAGCCACACTTTAAGCATTTTTAATGTGATTGTCACTTAGTAATGAAGTATATGTAATTTTAGAAGTTAATTTAAGACTTGACACATGCTTGTCGTCGTAACTTCAAGTACGTCGTTTCGCATGCATGAAAACGACAAATCGGAACCACTTCATAATGTTCATCTAACATCAATTTCATTGCTGAAACTGTAATCATAGATTTATCAATAAAACTGTACTAGTGGTGTAAGAATATCTATAATCCTATATAAGTCGATGGGTATTGTAAGAGAAGACATGGGAAACAAAACCAGGATATGGCCAGCAGCATCTTCCTAATCACCCCGTCCGACGTGCCACATGTGACAACTATGGCTGAAGTCCCCCTTATGGGGCAAGCTATGGGGAAGCCTATGTTTAACAGTGGATTTATGACAGACTATATTATTTTTTTTTTTATGGATTTTGGGTTTTGACAGGAAAATTATGTGAGTGGAGTGTCATACTATATTGATTTCTTTTACGCGGTGGAGCCACGCTGCAGCTATATTATGGTTGTAGCACGAATGGGTCTGCTAGACCGGGGAAGGACCATGCTCTCACAGAATACCAGTGTAAAATAGCAACTTTATACTGCTGTGTTTCTTATGGTGAATTTAGAGATCCGGAAACCCTTTTTTTTGGAAACGAGGCATTCCATCTTATTCCTCAGGGGTGGTAATGCATCTGCATTTTGATTCTTAAGCGAGTATAAATGTAGATGTGGACCATGTGCTAGTTTATCACCCTTATTCTATAAAAAAAGTATATTTATTGACATAGACTGGTTTACATTGAACAATATAATGTTACATGTATATATATAGTATATAACTCCTAACTCTATTTGGCATCAATAACATCATGATATTAACAGTATTTCATGCCCCACCAAAATTGCTTAGTCACATTGCTATTTCAGATTTAGCATGCTTAGTTTTCTGTAGGTACATAAAAAAATCCCCTCAAAGCCTTACTCGTACTGCATTTTGTTGTTCGGGTTACGTATATGAGGGGTATAGCAACTTGGTCCCATAGGAAGCATTGACTTGTTGAAGCAAGTTGGTGTGTCGAAATGTGGAGTACACTTTATTTTTAACAACTAATTTGTTGCATATCGGTCTACAAATAATTGCCTTTATCATTTTGTAGTCTGAGTTGAAAATTTAACTATCATAATTGGTAAAGTTAGTCCTCAGGTGTTGTTTTTATTTTTAAACATTTAATTCATAAACAATTTATCAGTTCCTATGATGGTAAGTGGCTTTTGCAGTTCATTGGATCTGTAATACACTTTAAATATTGAAAGCTACAGTTATACCCCTGATAACTGAGATGAAATACCTTACGGTCTGAAATTATACAGGTCTCTTTCTCTTCAAACATTAAATACTGATTTACCACATGTAAAGAAAAATATTGTCAGGAAACCAGCATACACTTCCCTGCCCAGGTGTGAGAGCATATAGGTCGTAATATTACTTTCTCTTCAAACTGGAACAAAACATTGGATGTTATGTTGCTTGGCCGCTAGTAGTGGGTAGTATTTTACCATACCCAGACTCCTAAGTAGAAAAGGATATTGCTACGGTACTATAGTAGCGTTATTCACCCATGAATATCTACATAGTAATTTTGTGGCAAATATATAAATCAATGTCTTGTTTTAGATGCCCTATTCGGCTCCTGGAAGACACCATCAAAGGAAAAGAAGAACTTCAACCTACCACAGCCCAAGATGGCCAACACTGACCTGACCCGTTTGCTCAAGTCTGAAGAGATCAGGAAGGTCCTGCGCGCGCCTAAGTAAGTAATTTTTAGGCAAATGTGTATGTTATAGCTGTTAACTAGGCAACTCCATCATAGTCCTCTGGAGTGCCAATGCTTTTCGATCTACCAATGAAGCGTGCATATGTATGTTGGTCCAAATTACAAATATAATTACAGTCTGTCGACACTATTACACCTCATTTCATAAGTACAAGAAGGCAAGCAAGGGAAGAAGAAGAGTGATCAGGTAGAAAGTCCAGATACTTTACTCAATGAGGTGGAATAAATGGTTGATTAAATGGATCCAACCGAATGATGCGTCGGGACTATGAATATGAATATAAGATGACGGTGAAGCCGACACTACGCGGAGATAGCTTTGTGTATATTTATTTATATGATTAGAAAAAATTCTTAAAAATAAGTTTTATTTGTAGTATACATATATTGTTGCGGGGGTTGTTTTTAAGAATCATAATCGAAGTCTGAATTCAAAAACTGTTCCAGACATTTTATTTACTAGCACTTGATACTTGTACACTTTCACAATCGCTATCCGATAAAAAAATTACTAAATAATATCTTCAACGCCAAGTCGTATTATAAATTCTTCCACATTATTTTCTACTATGTAATCTTGTTCGCTACACCTTTTCAATATTTTATACGCGATTACATTATTTTTCTTTTAATCTTGAAATTTAATTTTTTCGTCAAATTTATCTTTAGCTAAACTCCAAATTGGGTCTATGGGGAGAAGACCGATATGATGTGTGCACCTAAGTCTCTTCTACAAAAACCGAATGTTTTTTAGCTTCTGGGGACTCCTCACGAATAAAATTGATTTCCACTTATAGTTGTGCTGCAAGTTTCTGGAGCGTTTGCATTTCTTTTACAATTGCATAAAAATGAGTTTTGTTCTGAATGGCACATTTGTTTTCCTTTCCCCGCCATATGTATTAATTACACTAGCATTCAATCTAGCCTCTGCTTTGATTCAAATAAGTGTGACTCTTAAAATTACCGAAACTGAAATGTAGGTACATTGCTACATAGTTATATTTATTCTACTTTATTATTTTATTGCTGCAATATCCTCAAATAAAGCAAATTTTTGAATAGAATATGAGTTACATTCCAACATTTTACATGTACTTAACATCAAGTAATGGTATTGTACTGTTAAATGTGAACATTAACAGTTGACAAAGTACAAGGAGCCCGTTCTATTGCTTTCAGGACAACTTTTTCATTCTTTAAATATTATTTGTGAAAAGGCGAATGTAGCATTTATGATTTGTAATGGCGACGCCCAAGCAAAACTTGTTTTAGAAATCTCCAAGTTAACATACCTTCTGATGAAGAATATAAAAGATTAATTAGCTTCCTTTTAGTTTGTATTCCTTATTCTCCATATTCAAATCAACACGTGATTTTATCCTTCTACAATTTCATTTAACTACTCGTTTGCAGATAAGATTTTTACACGTAACGTTACAATGATTGGTCGCACGCCGGCCGGTTTTGCCTACTGGGTAACCTCCTCCATATCCTCATGGGTGGCCAACATAAATTGTTATTATTATTTTGGTTAATTTTAATCAAATCCTTCAATGTGTGTTTGTTGATGTGAAAAGTGCTTAAACTACTAAGTCTTATTAGATGAGGTGTTAAAAAGTATAATTACACATATAGTTCTTTTCTGTGGATAAGACAAAAAATCTATGACACATATCTATCCTCCATAAGAGGCAAGCTATAAGGGAAGTCTAGGATAAAAAATAATAATTTCTTTGCAACCTTCCGCTAAATAAATACAATGATGTGTCTTACCTGGATTGAAGAGCACCTCCTCCGCCCTCCCTCAATTGCATGCACTAACTCCGTCACCACTACTCCCAGCACCACTACTCCCAACACCACTATTCCAGGTAAGACACACCATCGACGATAATACGACACGTGTTGCACCGCTAAGCGGTCAGCCGCCGTAGAGTCCACATTACCTGAAGATGCCTCGTGTAGAGGCGAAACACGTGTCGTATTATCGTCAATGGTGTGTCTTACCTGGAATAGTGGTGTTGGGAGTAGTGGTGACGGAGTTAGTGCATGCAATTGAGGGAGCGCGGGAGGTGCTCTTCAATACAGGTAAGACACATCATTGTATTTGTTTAGCGGAAGGTTGCAAAGAAATTTCTATTTTTATTTTTTATTATAATGGATTTCCGCAAAGTAACGCCTGATTCTATCAATTATCTTAGGACGTCTATGATTAACAGTGGACTTTTTTAAAGCTGTAATTATGATGATGATGATCTTCTTTCTTCTCTCAACACTGTAATATGATGATATTCTCTTATCAGAGCATTGGGTTATGACTATCCATGATTACCCTATCACGTTGACACTTTCTGATCAATCATCACCACATATTACTAACTGTCTGCAAATTACGATACTATAATATATAACTTTCTATTACAGCAAGCGTGTCATACATTCTCCACGCAAACTGAACCCGCTCACCAACTCGAAGGCTATGCTGAGACTGAATCCGTTCTCGGCAGTGTTGAGAAGGAAGGCCGTGTTAGACCAGCAGAGGAAAAACAACCAGAGAGCGTTGGCTTTGGCTGAAAAGCGCGGTGTAAGTTAAATTTGTGAATCATTATTATTTTGGGCGTTAACCACTTCTAGGCTTTCTTTTGATGTGTTAGCTCAGAAGTTCGCCTTTAATATCTCAGTGCGCGAGCAGCTTAGGTTCTATCCCTGCCAGCACCAATGAAAATGTAAATTGCAATTTTAAATGTTTGTCTATAAATCAATGCAAGTAAAGATTTCCATGCAAAATAAAGATACTTTGGGGACAGTAATGTGGAATAATTGTGACTAACTAGAGAAAAAAAGTACATAAAAAAGTAGACATGAGTCAATTGTGAATGGTTTGTTAATTTGACATGGGTGCATCAAAGTATTAATGAATTACATTATTTACATTATTTGAATGTTCCAGAACAAAAGGATTGACAGAACCTATGACCAAATAGTATAGTAATGTCCGACGATCGTCACAATCGAGCGGGTCTCACAGATCAGCAGAATACTGAGACTCGAAATAATCCATTTGAAAGATCAGGTCACTAAAAATGAATGAACAACACATGTTTACACGAAAGGTATTTTATAAACCAGTGGTAAAAAAATCTTAAAAATGACTCCATAATTATTGTATTATACAATGATCCCACATGCATCTTACTGATGAGCACAGGCCTCTTCTGATCATAAAAGTATTTTCTGTAAGCATTGCCCTCGATTCTGTCGAGAGTATTTTTATTCTGACATATACAAAATTATATACTGACATTGTGTCGTAAGAAAGCGACAAGGGGCTTGGTGGGGTGTACAAAACTGGACACCCTTTTTACTGGACTTTAACGCATCTGCGTTTTGATTATTAATCGAGGATAGAGAATGAGCCACAGCATCCACTTACCATCACAAGGACTATGTGCTAATTTGTTTTTTATGTACAAAAAAAAAACTCCTTTAATGTCAAGGTTATTAAAAAAGTAGCTTTTTTAGTATGGATCCCATTTGCATAATCACATCCAACTCTAAAATGATGAAATTCTCTTATCAGAGCATTGGGTTATGATAACCATGATTACTCTTTTCACGTTGACTAATACTGACCAACCCACAACGTAAAATCTTACAATTCATCACTGATCAACTCTTCCTCAACAAACCTTACATATTTTTAGATAAAGCTGTCTTCTAAGGACCCAGCTGTTAAAGCCGAGAAGCTCCGCGAGAGAAGACAAAAGCTTCTAAAGCTTGCCGCTGCCAAGAAGACAAAGAAGCCGGCGGCCAAGAAGACAGCCCCTCCCCCGCCTAAAAAGAAGGCGAAAGAAACAAAGGCTGCGCCTAAGAAGTAAAAAGAAATAAACTTTATAACTGGTTATTTTGTTTCTTTATCCCCTCGTCTGTCCAAACGCCATATTCTGGCGTCTCAAATAATATGCGCATCTGTCAAACGCCATAATATGGCGTCGAGTGATAGCAAACTATTTATTGGTAACATGTATATGATAAATATAACATATACAATATGTAACGTAATTAACGCACACCCTTCGACACCCCAATTATAGTCGTATTTTTAATTAGACGAAGCCAACTGACAGTAGCTAATGTCACTTTGTAAAATAATGTTGCCATATTTAAAGTAATAGTGATGCGTTCAGTTCTCGTTCAATCAGATGAATGAACAATGAGTGTGAATAGTTAATCATTTCAAACTATAAAAGAATATTATTTCTATTTTACAATAAAATTGTATAAAAGTGCTCTGATATAAGTTACTAGTAGTATGTAACTACAATCAGTTTTTTGAGGTTTTATTACAAAGCGCGGCGCGGCGACTAGTGCCAACACCGATCAACGCCGCGCGCGTCGGTCGCCATTTTGTTTGTTATTCGGCTTCTAACCTCTGGTCTGATAGCACGAATGTTTTTTCTGCGCTCACGCTGTTTAGTTATTGTTTTTGTTAAGTTTTTCGTTAGGTTGTGTTTGTGGTAATTGTTGTGTTTATTTGTTGCTATATTGTTTCGTACAAACGATATGGATCCTCAACCAAGCACGTCAAGCCAAAGCTTGTCTCCAAGAAAGAAGAGACCACGGATTGCTTTAAGCGTTACCGAAAAACTTATGATACAAAACGTCTACAAACACGTATTTGAGGAAAAAGCTGCTTCACTATTACCTATTGAGGCCCCCGAAAAAAAGAATGTGTTTCGAAAACAGCTGACATTTTGGGAATTGGTGTGACCTCAGTTTACAGTGTGTTAAAAGAATGCAAAGAAAATGAACAATTTAAGTCTCCCGAGAAACGTGGACCGAAACACAGTTTCAAAGATAAATTAGACGATTTTACTTTTGCCGCTATAAGGCGAAAAGTACATAATTTTTTATGCAAATGAGTCACCCACCATTATAAAGGTAACTTAAACTTTATTCCTTCTACTGCATTATATTCTGTGTCCACCATAATGTTCTTTGTAAAACCAAAGTATTAGATTGCGTAGACTTCCTTACTCAAAACATATTTTATTACTTTACAGATTCTTAAGGTTGTCAATGAAAACCCAGACTTACCCAATTTTTCTTGGAGTACATTAAGAAATGTTATGAAACATTTAAATTTCAAATATGTCACAAAATCAAGACACAGCATTTTAATTGACAGACAGGACATTATTCTATGGCGCCAGCGATACCTTCGAAAAATTAAAGAGTATCGAAGGGAAGGAAGGTATATTTATTACCAAGATGAAACCTGGATCAACGAAGGTAATTACAATTTTCTGTTTTCTTTACATTACATTGTACTTTCAAATAATTAATTGATATTTTTCACTATCTTGAATGTCATGCACCGAAGAAGGCATGGATTGACCAGACAGTGTTATCGTCCCGCCAGGCCTTCCTAGATGGCTTGACCACTGGCTTAAAACAGCCTTCAGGAAAGGGCAAACGATTAATTATCGGCCATATAGGCGGGGAAGAAGGATTCGTAGAAGACAGCTTATTAATATTTGAAGCCAAAAAAAAAAAGAAGATTATCATCAAGAGATGAATGCCGATTCCTTTGAGAAGTGGTTTTGGGGTGTCTTGCCAAAACTAAAACCAAATTCCGTAGTAGTGATGGATAATGCCCCCTACCACTCCAGGAAACTAGAATCGCTGCCTAAAATGTCTTGGACTAAACCTAGAATACTAGAGTGGCTAACGAGCAAAAATATTTCATTCGAAGCAACAATGGTTAAAGCTACTCTTATAGACATTGTACGGCAGCACAAGCAAGAACATTGCGATAAGTATGTTGTGGACGAGATGGCAGCGCAGCATGGGATAATTGTTTTACGTCTGCCCCCATACCACTGTGAGCTCAATCCCATTGAGTTGGTATGGGCGCAGGCTAAAGGATATGTTGCAAGAAATAACAAAACCTTCAAAATGACAGAAGTAAAAAAACTTTTTGAAGAAGGACTTCAACATATCACACCTGAAAAATGGAATAGCTGCGTGTCTCATATAATTAAAAAAAGAAGACAAAATGTATGGTCTCGACCACATGATTGACAATGTTACTGACAGATTTTTAATTAATGTTACCGAAAGCGATAGTGATGATTTTTTATCTGATAATGAATAAAAACAAATTATGTAATAAGCGATTTTTTTTATTCTGATTACCTACCTATAATTGTTATATTTTATACATCTATAGTTTCAACTACATGATGTATTGAAAATAGGACAGTCTTACAAGTTTCCTCGCAACATTTTCCTTAATGTTTAAAACACTCTGTATTCAGTATAGGTAGATATTATAGGAACATAGTCGTCGAAAACTCGTTGGTATGTAAAAAGCACGACTAAAATTCGAACCCCGTACCCGATATCGGCAGTTCAGCACACTAACTATTCACTAGACAATCGAGGCAATTTCATTAATTCAGGAGTTTTTCAATCATTCACTTTGTCACAACACTATTTTTATTTCATCAAAAACTGACAACACAGTAAACGTCAGTTGACTTCGTCTAATTAAAAATACGACTATAGTATATTATGTTATATACATACACTGAATTTTTAGTTAAACATTTTAATGCACTGATTATTTATCAAATTAGTTATACTAATTCCGAAAGAATGTTGTGGTCACAGTACAAATCCACGAACGCAAAGACTTTAACATTCTTGAAATAAAGTTCATTTTTCTTTATTTTTATTGAATGACAGAATTCGTAATAATACAATTTAAACTGCACTCTTAAAAGTCTTATTGCTTAAGTTAAGGTCCATTTCAGTTTGTTTTGACTGTAAAGATTTAGTGTGACTGTAATTTACGTAGTTTTAGTTATTTTTGGGATACTACTTAAAAATTATAGGAATCGATTCAGTAAACGATTATGAACAAACTTCTTTCTCAAAGTGCGTTAATTATGTTACATGTTGTATATCTGTTATGCATAATTTGATAGCTTATTTAATAACGTTTCCATTGATATATGATTTTAATATACTATATATATATATATATATATACATCGAACATACGGTGCTATAACGTCACTTATGCAATTTTTGTCAAATCTGAACTGAGTACGAGAAAATACACCTAATCTACCTCTTTACTTGGTGCGTTATTGTCGCTTGTGTATTACGCATACTTTTCGCGTGAGGACACTAGTATTGTTATGGTTTTGGCGCGAATCTGAATGGCACTGGGAGAAACAACATTTCATTGGTCAGTTGCGCACGGCCCCCGCACAAGAAGCAGTCTCCTGGAGCTACAACGTTACTAAGGTAATTATGACAATTTATTTTTATATTTTTGGAGCAATAACGGCACTTGGTTAATTGTGACGTTTGTATCTTCAAACAACAATGTGACACATGTGTAAGTAGTGACTAGGCATGTCGATTCACTCTTAAAAAAAATCGATCTCTGAATCGATGGTACTTGAATCGATTAAATCGAGGATTAAAAGATCGATTTTCGATTAATCGCGACATTTTCAAACATGAAATTTCAAGAATTTTTGATTTTTTTTCTTTAACTTCTTAACTGTTTTTTTATTTATTTTTTAAATATAATATTAGTAATCATATTGATTAACATTACTAATATTCCTTTTAACCACTCTTGGTAAGCTTGAAACGCTTGTGTTAGGAGTGGTTCGCACATACTCCACTCGATCCCTTTTTTTTACAAAGTGATTCCACGTAACACTTTTATTTGACATTTTAGGCTAAAAACAACAACAATACTTTAACAGAAGTGAAAACTGCAATGTACATTTCTCGATAAATCTGTTTCAATCTAATAACTCACTATTTATCATATCGAAATGAATGCTACACGAACACAATACTGGTTATTTCCTTACTATGAACCTCTATAAACTTCAACGTACGGTATAATATTTATTTACAGTATCTAGGTAAGTATTTATTTACAGTAGGGGTAGGTAAATTGCTCTGTACTTACAGCTCACAGTATGTATATTTTTGATAATAAATAATGTAAATTCACAAGTTCACAGTTCAAACAGGTTCACAGCTATAATATTATATTATAGTACGGGAAGTGAAATATAATATGAAAGTATCACTCGGTCGATCGAAAAAATATTTGTAGTTTGGGATGTAATATATATTACATCTCAGTGGAAATGGTTCCATTTAAAAGTACGGTGAGCGCTATTAATTTATATCTCGAGATGTAATATAAATTACATTATATCCCTTAGTGGAAAGTGGGCTTAATAATTTTAGAAATGAAAATGAAATGACAACTTTTCGATATTGTTGGATGCGTTCATAAACATTTATTTTATTCAAATATATATTTGCGTTCAAATTATCAACCAAGTACGACCGGATGTTTTTGCGTCCCCCAACAGCAAAAAAATTAAAAAACTGTGGTCTCTTACCCCACCCAGTTTGAGAATTTTAGCTAGTTCTTGTATCAAATGAATCGGTCCGATTCAAGAGGTTTTTAGATCGATTCAGTGAATCGATGCGGTGCTTCGAATCGATCTAAAAAATCGATAATTTTCCTCCAAAGAATCGATTTTTCGATTAATCGATTTTAAATCGACATGCCTAGTAGTGACGTTGTTTCCCCAACCTTTGTATTTTATGGTATAAAGTTGACGTTACCATTTTATACTAATTTTACATTTTTATGGTAATTGTTCCGATGATAAATTGATTCCTTTAAGCAATCTAATAAGTAAATATTTTGTGGTAATTAAAAGTTATAATATCGATAAATCAGTCTATCATTTATTTTGTTATTATCATATTTTTTGTTTACTTTTTTGTTATTATTATGCAGGTATTTTGTTTCTTTCAGACCTTA